GGTTCCCCATGCTGACGTGCGTACAAGCCCGAGCTCACTCGCAGGGCAGCGTAGTGTCCCAGACAACACAAATTGCCCCTCAAAGCCGGCCAGGTACTGCAGACCCTGTGCGAGCACGCTCTGAGGCCCTCTCCAGAGCTAGCCGTCGTCCTCGATCCCGAGGATCAACAGCAAGCATCCACTCGAGTACCACCCAGCAAACCCAGGACCAACACCTTGACGGGTTCCCACAGTTTATGCCATCGCAAGTCGGGACCGGCCAGCACATGTTCAACAACCCCGAAGATATGCTGATGCGATTTGGGCATCAGCTTTCACATCATCAGAACGGTGCACCGCTGGATCAATCAATGCAAGACGCCCACGCCGCGATGTCTCGAACCGAAGACTTTCCGAATCATCCGATGCAAGGTCACCCGCTTTCCCACCACCCTATACAGCCCGAGATTGCAGCTGGCTTGCCTGGTGTACCCGTTCCACAATATCAGCAAATATACGATAGTGGTGTAGAGAACCATCTTCCAGACCACATGACCGAGGATCAAGAAATTTCGGAGCCAGGGACTAAAAAGAAAAGAGGAGCGAGCTCGACGGTGGCAAACGACAACGAGCTGCGAAAACTACTTCGCCAGTATGAGGGATGGAATCTCAAGCAAATGGCAGCTGAAGTCATGAAGAACGAGGGTGGTGGAGGCAAGGCCGAGAAAGTGAAGCAGGTCTTCGCGATGATCTGGTAAGGCATACATTCCTGCAAATACCCTGCAACCATTTGGCTAACAGTATACACAGGCTAAGAGAAAATTGCCGGAAGAGCAGTGGCTCAGTACGTCGTGATCGGGTCTATTGCTGCTATGCAGAGAACTGTGGAACAGAGCGCGTCTCAGTACTGAATCCTGCATCATTCGGAAAGTTGGTTCGTATCATCTTCCCTAATGTACAAACTCGACGTCTTGGTGTTCGAGGCGAGTCCAAGTATCACTATGTCGATTTGTCAGTCATTGAGGAAAAGCAGCAAAAGCTCGCGCCTCTCAACGCACAAATTGCTCATCCTTCAAACGGTCCCGCCTCTATGCCCTCCAGGGCTGCCAGTGCAATGCGCTCTAGAAGGTGAGACATGACTGATATCGATCCTCATCTGCTCCCGCTGACAAATGATTAGTGCTAGCGTACAGCAACCTACTGCCGATACTGCCGTGTTCCCATCCCCAACAACTTCCTTTGCGCCTCGATTCCCGAATAATGCTTCTCCTGCCGACTGCAATTGCCAAGGCCAAAACCTATCTGGGCCAGATGCAACGATCACTCGCGAGAATGTAGCCCAGCAGGCTGGGAAAATGATACACCAGATGCTCCAGTTCCCGATGGATGAGAACAACTTGGTTGATAATGATACCCTACAACTGCCCGATATCCGTGCCTACTTGCCTGCAAACACCGATTTGAAAGTTGCTGCAGCTCTTGCTGCCCTATATCGCTCGCACTGCATTTCGGTCATCGACAGCTTCCGATATTGCAAGGAAAGAAATCTTATGAAATACTTCTCCGCTTTCCATGGAACATTGACTGTTCCTGTTCAAAAGTTGTTGACCCACCCCAATCTTGCTTCATGGATCAAGGAATGTGATTGGATGATGTACCAGAAGATGATTGCGTTTGTGGCACCCCTGACAACCCAGGTGGTTCCCAAGCCCGTCCTAGACGCCTTTAACTCGATCTCACAACGGCTTTGCGGTCACATCGCCGAGACCTTCAAAACTCAACCGACCCATGTCTCGGTAGCACGTTTGATTCCCGCGCACATATTTTGCAATCTTCTAAAGCATATGCTTGATGTGAACCAGGCTGCCAACGCGGCTGCTGCTTGGCTTTGCCACCCTGATAACCGAAATCAAATGTGGACCGACTTCAAGACCATGGTCAATCCTAGAGACATGATGTCCAAGGCGAACATTCCAACGTGTGCCGAGGCAGCGACGGAACAGATTCTTAAGCATGACATTCGTGCGCTCTTGACTCCATTGACTGATGTTGACCCCTCCGCAAGTTTGCTTTTCTTTACGCAACCCGATACCCCCGATTCTGTTGAAGCTCACAAGTTCCCTGTGGAAAGTGCTCCCGGAGACGAGTACAATTTCCCCGATAAATGGGTTCAGTTCATCCTCAACATCCCCGCTGCCTTTGCCAACCATCGCACGCAATGTGTCATTGAAAAGGTTGATGCCTTGTGGGATAGCGTGTTGCACCGACTCACCTTGGCCGGGGCACCGAGCTTTAGTGCGTGGTGGATGACCAAAGTCTTCTTCCACGAAATGATGGTTTGGCAAGCCGAGAAGGGTGGATTCATGCGTAACACTCCTGGATCATTGCAAAGTGCGACATTTGGTCCCGAATCACTTGGCCATTTTCAGATGAAACAAGGCCCTCTTCCCGAGACATCCCCTTTTGACGCATCAAATGATTCACACGCCAAACCCAACCCGAGTCCTCCTGTGGCCCATCATGGCCACCAAGGCCATCCCCCGAGTCAGCACCCAGAATTCAAACACCCTCCCAGCGAAAAGCGACTTTCTCTTCAAGATCCAGGCTTCCAAGGTCATAACAATGACGACAGTGCAATTGATCTTGAGGATGACACCATGTTACTGGCGGTCGGTAAATATGGTGACATGATGGTCTCCGATCCCGCTGATGCCGAGGGTGATGTCGTCGTCATCTAGTCTAATTTTTGATTTGTGTTCATGAGTTGGAGTTGGATATCCCTTGTTCCTGGAGGCTTCTCCATTGGTTGTGGATGGCGTTCCCACGATTCTCCTTTGTCCTTCCCCCCCTTAGTATCTCCTTTGTTTGCATGAAGCGATGAGACATGAGCAATGAGGCTCTCATTGAGTCTTCTTTGCAACCCCGGCAAGCCGGGTGCTTTCTTTGATCAGACCTACAGCATTTAATCGGCGTGGTGGAATTCAGTCCTGACTTTGTTCTTGCTTCTCCTTTTCCTGTTTGTTTACCTTCGGGTCTCGCATCGAGTCCCTCTGTACATATTACATGTGGACGTACTTTGATCATTGGCGCAATATCTTAATGTGCATGAATAAGTGTTGCCATACACATTTCTATATGACCTTTTAAGTTGATTGCACCCTACTAACTTATTTGCCATATGTTCTGTTAAGAGTACCTAGGTATAAACTCTGTTGATTGAAAGCTTTTAGTGAGTTTTCAATAAATCCATTGATATCAGGATGAGTTGATTTAGAGGGAAGTGGTAAAGGGAGCATGTATGTAGAGAGCAACGGTTAGAAAAACATTGGCTCGCCTAAGGCAGACATTCCCCAAAAAGGCTTAGTAGAGCCCTAGCTCCCCTGGACCCGAGGTCCGGACGGAGTATATACACTCATGTTCCAACGTCATGGAGCAAATCGTGGTTGATGATCACATATTGTCGGAGCTCAAAGAGCACTGAAAGGATCTCATTACGCGCGTCGAACTTGACAATGTTGGCGAGGATAGCACTATGAAAGGTATCTCGCTCTATGGTTCTCGGGATGACTTGCCTCGTCACAAGAATGAGCGTATCAAGTGTTCGGCCTCGCTGGAGAATACCCCGATGTTCATCTAGGATGTGGCTGAGATTGGTGTGTAGTTTTATCCCCAGAATGTGCATGGCACTTAATCAATCGGATCTGCTTCACCCAGGGCCTGTGGAATCGCAGCCTAACAAGATCGGTGATACTCTTCCGTCTAGTATTTGCACACAATTTTCTGTATTTTACCATCCCTGTCTTGTATGTCCTTTCGAATGTTCTTTTTCTCTCAGGGTTGTGATAAAAATGTATTTTATAGACTTGCCAGACTCACCATTCTAAAATATACGGAGACCAGTTCATAGATCAACACCAGAGTAGACGGCTGTTTTTTGCTTATGATGTCTCATAGGTCTTTTCAGCGGTTTTTTCAGAGGACTTTCTAGCGGAATTCTTAGACATTATTCTTAGATATCTCTAATATCCCTTTTCCAGTCTTATAGGTAGACTACAAAAAAAGGCGGGAGTAACACACTTTCTGCAAGCGACTTTTCTATGTATAACTTCTGATTTCACGGTCAACGTATCGGCAACTCGTATATGGAGTATACAGGTGCTGAATTAAGCCGAAAAGGAACCCGTCGAAAAAGGTGCTCTGCAACACGTCATTGACTCCGAGGGTAACATCTGTTACATCTATCTTTTTTTTTTTTTTTGTTCATTTCAATTCCAATGCACTTGGCCTCGAGCATTCATTACTCACCGAAAAACTTTGATCTGAGGATTTGAAGTTGCATCAAAGTAGTACTCTTAGAGATTGGCCTCGAAGATGTCCACGGGTGTGGTAGTGGATTAGGTACTGGGATGTGCGAATAATATGTCCCGCAAACAGCCAGGTACTACCCAGGTACTACCCAGGTACACCTGGGCAAGCACCACCCACTACTATTCCAAGGTTATTGTAGATGAGTTGATATCATTACTCTCATTCAAAAAGGTGGAGAGAATGGGAGAGAAATGAAAGGTGATATTTGCAATAATATGACAAGAAAAAGAACATCCAGTTATGAATAAGTACAAGGGTTCACGGTAAATAGGATGGATATATGAACAAGGACATGTGAAAGAATCATGAGGAAATCATGAAGAGGAATCGCTTCTACTCCGGAAGACATGCCAAAGGGATGTGTCGGGAACTCCTGTGAGACACACAGTGGCTCATTCTCAAGATTGACGCCGAACCAAACGATCAACGCAAGGCTTCGCAATCGATCTGGCGAAACTGTGCTCAGATCACTCCCAACCCCCATGCCTGGGACTCGACCAACCCTGGCCGGTCTCAGCATGGGTGGCATTGTTTGGAAACCCGGAGTGCCTATCCCAAGTAAACACTTGGTAGATGAGGCATGCAAGTATTAAGATAAATGAAATGTAAATGAAGATTCGCGCCCCAAGTCGGGTCATGAGAAGGCGTAGGCTTTAGTGTCCCTTATCCTCTTTGGCCTCTTCTTTGGCCTTTGGGGAGTATCTCCATCGGTCCCAGTTCTCCAAGACCCACCAATTGGCAACATAAGAGGCGTTGTATAGCCATTCGAGAGTTTTTTCATCATACTCTTGCCCGACGGCGGCCGCTAGATCAGCCAGACTGAAACGCTCGATCGGCTTCAGCTCGTTCGGGTCCTTGGAAACATCGGAGAAACGCCATTCCACGTCGTTGACGAGGGGGATCACCAGGCGGAACTCGGGCCGGGCGGCCGAACGAACGGAGAGCCATGAGCCACCTGTGTTCATGACGGTGAAATGCCAGGACTCGCGTCCCTCATGCTCGACGACCTGGGGCCGGATCAGGGATTGACCTTCGTACAAAGAGCGAAGATCACGGGCGGACCGGGTGCTATCCTCGCTGAGGGATGCCGACTCGATCAACAAGTCGATGATGGTGGGGACGATTTGGCTGTTGATGACTGGGGTGTCGATCTGGACGGGAGGCAGTTGGGGGTGTGCAATCACGATCGGAACCTTGAAGCTGCCGACGTGGGGGTTATCATAGGGAGTGATACCGCCATCGTTGGGGAGGGAGAGACCGTGATCTCCAGCCATGACGAACAAGGTCTCATTGGCCACTCCCTTCTCCTCCAGAATATCGATGAGTTCCGAGAGCCAATCATCCACATAACCAACCGAGTTCAGGTAGCGATTCATATCGTTGTTCGAACCGGATTTGGAGCCCATGATCTCTTCAAAGGCATCGTTGGGAACTCCCCAGGGATGATGAGTGGTGCTCGTGAGGTGGCTGAGGAAGAGACGATGATGGTCACGTTCCGCATCATCGATGGCATCACGGATGTACCCGCGAAGCTCGGTTTCCGGATAGCCATAGTAGTTCACCTCTTTACTCTTGACGGGATAATACTTGGCTTCGGGTTTAATGATGGTCTCCTTGGTCTGTTTGTCCCGGAATCCCAACATGGGGGTCAATTTGTCCTGGTTGTCATACGTTTCGGTGACCGACATCATAAAGGTCGAATGCCACGGCCACTTGGTGAAATCGTCGGTCTCGCTGGTGATATCCGGTTGCTGGCTGAGGGCATCAAAGATGTGGGGCAGACAGGGCTGGTAGATGTGGTGGTCGAATTCGCGATTGAAATCGGCGACCAGTGGGGTCACACCACAGAAACTTCCGGTCAAACTCTTGAGGGTATATGTGGCGCTCGTGATGGCATCCCTGGCGCTGATGCCACCATAGGCTTTGCGGCCGAAACGGGAATCATCGTGCTCAAATCCAGTGGGGAAGTTGGTGAAAAACTCGGCGGTGCGGGTGAGGTTTGCCAGGCGGTCCACCACCTCTTGGGGAATCTTCTTGTCCTTCCAAGATTCCGCAATGCGATTGTACATAAAGCTGTCCTTTTGCAGCGGGAAGATATCGGCCCGTGCACTCTCGAGTTTTAAGAAAACGACATGCTTGATCTTGACCTCGCCGCTCGACAATGCCTTGTGGATCTCCTCCAGCACGGGCTGGTCAAGGTTGGAGATATGCAATGGGTCCTCGTTCGGGTTGTAGTGCACTGCCAGGGGATCGGATTGATCCCAGTCCTCAAAACCGCTGAGGGGTTCCTTTGACATCCAGCTCCAATGGGGTGCGGGGCGCAATGCAGTAGCCCTTTCTAGATAATTTAGATTTCCGGGGACGCCGGTAGTATCGACGGGGGAGTGACGCTCGGCGCCCTCGATGACCGTTGTCAAGGGTAAGGTAGTTGACATGTACATATAGATGGGATCCCACGGTCGCATGAAGCGGAGGAACAGGAAGAGACTGAATAACCCTAGGATGATGCTCCGTTGGAGGACCCCATCGGTAACTCGCTTGGACTCTGGAAGGCGGTTGGGCATTTGAGCGGTATTCAGCAGATGGTCCCCTTCTTCATTGTCACTGATGTCATCATTGTCGTCCATGTTGATCTGTTCATAGATTCGAGGGTCGGGCAGGTCGGAGGCTTCGGATTTGGACCGGGGCCAGAAGCGCTGCATCAGAGGCTCCACGTGCGGTCGCACACGAGCCCACAACCATCGAACGGGCCAGGCCCAGACATGCAGGATTCCTCCGGTGAGGGCATGAATTGAATGAGCCGCAAACAATGAGATTGTCAACAGGATTCCCTCGACGATCAAGAAGCCGGTCAAGCCGGAGAGCAGGGTATGAATGGCGGCGGCATCCCCATTGAAGGCTTTGGCTTGGCGCCAGTGGATCTCGGCCCCGGTGAAGACATAAAACGAGGTATTGGCGGCGGCCATGAAGGACATGATTAGACTACATTGTGATTAGCCTCTTGGAGTTCCGATGTCTTCTGTCTTGTGAAGATGGTGCAAGTTGCGGGTTTGGGTTGGAAGGAAAAAAAAAAGGGCACGTGGACACTTACCTAGAGGGGATAACCAAGATTGCCAGTACGGCGGCTCCCGGTCGCCACGCGACCTTTTGGCAAAGAATGCGGAACAAGAGTAGAATCATCACATCTTGAAAAAAGAAGGTCAAGCCCCATAGAAAGAATCGGGGTAGGGGTAAGGAGTATAAATGAGCGTAAAGATGCAGCAATTTAGCCAAAAATAAGGACAGGAAGGCAAGTGTGAAGAAATAACGACGGGCAAAATCCCATACGGCATCCAGGGTTTCCGCAGGAGACTGACGAACTCGCCGGATGCCGTTGCTCAAATAAGCATGTACAGCGTGAACAACTTTCATGATATATAGACAAATGTATACACACCCCCGGACATTGGGAAGAAAGAAGAAGAGGAAACCGGACGGCACTTTTTTTTGTAGGAGTGGACATTAGTGGAGACGATGACAGGACCATTTTTTCCCTTTTTTCCCTATTTATCCTGGACCTTTTTTTTATTATTTAATTATTTAATTATTTAATTCTTTTCTATTTAATTTGGTGCACCGTAGAAGTATTCTGATTGGATTTGTCGAGAACTGATGTAATAGGAGAAGTGTATGTGACCTATTATCCTCTTCTCAGCCTCTCCCCCCATGTTTCCCAAGTTTCCCCCTGTTCCTCCCGTTCCCCCCGTTCCCCTTCATATCCTTTTCAGCCCCGAGCCCAGCCCCTAAGCCCTCCCCGCCGAAAGTCTCCAACTTAGCCCCAAATGGACCCCCCAACTTAGCCCCAAATGGGCCCCCAACTTGGCCCCCAACTGGGCCAAGTCCCAAGAAAAAAGAGAGTCCCCGCCTTCCGGATTTGGAAAAGAATAATAAAAAAAAAAAAAAAAAATTAAGTTTCTCTTTTTGGGGGTTTCTCTTGTCTTCTTCCATATATTTCATCATCATGTTAGGGAGTGCTTTTGGTTGGATTTCGCTCCTATTTGAGCCGTTAGCCTTTCAAGTTCCTCTCATTCAACCACAGCCAAGACTCAAAGCGGAAAATAATATAGCGATTCCGGATCAGGGCCCCTGGCAAGAGATTATCACCGGTCATTATGCCATTCCGCCCGTATTGAAAATTCATGATCGGAATAGTGTCGTCAAATGGAGTTGGCAACGAGAAGATGTGACTCAACCTCTCCCCCTCTGATTAAGAGTGGGTTATACAGTCATTTCAACGATGCGACCGATATGAAGTGGATGCGAGGGGGAGAAGTGTGGCCGCCGTCTACAGTGCTCTGGTCATCGTGGTCAATCACACTCCCGATCAACCTTCGACCGATAAGAAAATTACTTTCGCCCTCAACAGAGCGAATGATGTGTTGCACAATGCCCATACCATCGAGCCTTTGCCTGGTGATCGTCTCGCCGTCGGAACCACCGGACAACGACCGTGGGATGGCATTTTGGTGTACAACATGAGCGAGGCTCTCCCCCTCGTCGATGAACCCCCGGTATTACAAAAGATTGAAGGTCTGCCGGCGATCCATGCCTTGATCTGGGATGAGCAGGGCCAGATGTTGTGGGCGACCGGCACCGACGTTGCTGCCGATGGCTCCGATGCCGTCCCCGCCCACGGGATCATTCAGGGATACCCCTTCGATGCCGAGACTGGTCTCCTCAGCATCGATGAAGCCTATCGATTCCGATTCCCGGAATACTACGATATCGACGCCGAATGGGGACATGGATATAGCTGGTGGGCTGGACCCCACGATCTCGTCCCCGTGCCCAACGAACGTGTCTTTCTCGTCTCCAATGATATCGGTCTTCACGCCTTTGATATTGAGAAGATGAACTTCACTGCCGCATACGACGAAGTCATCGAGAAATATATGCCCGGCTTTGAGGTCACCACCAACGATCGTCATGGGATGAACCGCGCGGGAGAATATGTGGACTTGCCGCAGTCGGACCTCAAGGGGTTCAGTCTCGCCCCCGATGGAAGCTTCATTTATACCCAGTCTCTATGGACCCTCTTCCGAGGAAACTATACCAGTCTCGTGGTCGATGGAGTGCGGACCAAGCTCATGGTAGGGGATGAAATCTATCGGTCGCGATGGTTCGGAGACATTGATGGCTGGCCTAAACCAAAGTACTAGAACCTTTTGTACATTTATATAATTCTTTTGAGATATAATGAACATTCCAGCGTTTGTCTCTTGACATCGAATACAGTTTACGGGAAAGGCGTCTTTTGTGCTACAATCCATAGAGCATACATAAATTTCCAAGGTTGACCCCTATGTTAATATGTACATATCCCCTATCTCCCCTATATCAAATCTCCCGGTTAGGCAACCCCCCAATTCTCAAACACGCTACTCTGAATTGAGATGCCTGGTCAGTCTCGGTCAGCCCTAGTTGGCTTGGCACAAATCTCCACTATGTCACTTTCCGAGAAGGCTTCGTTGTCAATTCCTCATAGGTCCGTCTGTCCTTGGCTCCGATGTCTGTGCCTCGGTTTCCTTCAGCCTATACGAATTCACTATCTGGTCTCTTTAAAGTTTGGGGTCAAAGTTGGGACGCTTTGAAAAATAGGAGAAAAAGGAAAAAAAGGAGCTATCCAACATATCTGAAGTGCCTTGTCTCTCTACATCGTACTCGTATTCCGTACTCGTACCCGGTTCCTCGTGTACCTGTTGTCACGAACAGGAGAACACTCGCCACCGCCAAGACTAGGAACAGGAAGTCAGATATTCCCCAAAATTTCATATTCAAGTCGGGCAACCCCAAGAACAGTCTGTAGCGATAAACTACCTCTGGCGAGGTCGGTCCCGATGGGGATGATACGAGACTAGCACAGGGGCCGCGGTATCTGGACATGCTGCCGGAAAAGGCCAAACGGTCCTGAATAAACCTATTATCTATAGACACATCAATATTTGTTGCACACCCGGTGTTGGATTCTCATAAATTCAGTTTCTATAACTCGGCGCTCAGTTTCCGGAAGGGTAGAGAGTTTCACCAAGCTGTGTTGAAATTCGGAAGGAGAAGTTGCTCCCCCATCTTGAAGATTCCGAGGTCTGATGGGTGGAAGATGGTAAAGAAATGTCGAAGTTCGAAGCCTCTATATCCCCTACCAAAGCTTAGCAGGATCACAATCTACCAACCGATGTCGATCATCGGATGCAGATTTGGAGTCCGCGTTCGAGCTAAGAGGTAGAGCCACCTCGCGCGGGATATTGTCATTCTTTATCCGTCAGCAGGTCACCACTGATGGAGGTACGGGTATAGCTTGGGAAGATATGGACAATGTCGGAGTTACTAACTTAGGAGCCTTGGTAGAGGGTCATACCCGAAGATCATAAACAAGGGAGAAAGAAGAGACTGAGGAAGGTACAATGATATAAGCTCGAACGATCTGATTCTGACAATGAAAGAGCTGGTAAAACTTTCATTTGAACGATTACATGCAGATATGTAGGTACGAGATGCCATATCGGAATTTTGACGGGCTGTATATGTGTTACGTTCTATATCAAAACCGTGTGACGCGTAAGGCAAGGTAAATATCTGGATCAAGTTGGGGACTTGTCAAAATAGTTTCGTAGCTTAGGGCTGTATACCGATATTTCTCAAGCCCCTAAAACAGCGCCGAGAACCTCAGCTGTGGCCTCTGTCACCGACTTGTTCATAGTTCTGGCAGTCCACCCTGAGAACAGTACCAACTCAAAGAAACGACTGTCATGGGAGACGAGAATCTCCAAGACCTTTTCACCCGATTTTCCTGGTCGCAGCTTGGCCAACTTGTTACCAGTAGCATCCTGCAATTCCATATTCCTCCCCGTTAACATATCGAGTTTCCATTTCAATTGACCGGTGACTGGTGACTCGAGCGTGAAGTTGCCGGACAATTGGTTCAAACGTATGTTGATTGGCTGGCCATAAAAGCCCATGTGTATTTTAGAAGAAAGACTTGGCAGTCGAGCGTCGCCAATGATGTCCCATGGACCCTCGCCCCAGCCCCGAGATAATACCACGTTGGGAGCACTGTTATTGGATCTGATCGAGTACATCGGCGGTGCCTCTGTTGGGTGGCCTAAAGGGTGGACAAGTGTCTTTGATGAGTCCCATGGCGCTGATCGTAATGCAAATGAGACAGAAGACTGTCGATTTAGAGAGTTGCTGGTGGAGAAAGGAGAAACCAACGCCATATGATTCATTGAGGCACTGATGCAGCGTTTTGGGATAGGAGTCAAAGCATAAAAAGACTAGGTGAGAATTGAGGCTCAAGAATATGAAAAAATACCTTTCTCACGGGGTTTGGTTGTTTTATACCTGATGTATTCCTTTTGAAGTTTTCATGATCGCCAGACTACATAGCTCGATCTATGATTTATGGCTAACTTCTGTTTCCCAATCGGGGATCATCGTGCGCCGCATTACGGGATGTGGACTGGTGCTGTAACGTAGGATTGGGCGTATTTCTAGCACTTCCAAACAACCTCCATCCTTCACTTGTAACATATACGAGAGCACGGAGTTCCATATGCACATCGTACTCAGCTTCAGGCTTGGCTGAGGCTGTGACCACAAGGCGATGACGTCATATTATATGTCTTCGTCGCGCCATCCATCCCATTTGGGGCTTGTACCCAACACACATATCTCATATCTAACTCCTTTGCCTTGAACAGAACATCTGACGGTATACATGCCTGGGGTTCCATCTAGTCGGGGCTGTGATGCGTGTCGCAAGGTGAAAAAGAAGGTTTGGGCTCCCAGATGGCCCGCTTGTTATGTCTTGTTGATTTAAAGATTAGTGTGATCAAACCAAACCGACGTGTTCACGATGCACGCGTTTGAAAATGACATGCATTGGAGGAGGACGGCAGCGGTACATGTTCAAGAATCAATCGCCGAACGGGATGCAAAAACAAAGCGCAGAAAGTCAATCAGAACTTCGTCCATTTTTTCGTACTGGCAAGGAACTAGTGTTTGTCAAGGAACCGACGCAAATGCCTAGCAATGAAACAAGTATGCTGGCAGCAGGATTCATAGCAGCATTTCAGGTAACTGATATCCGATATGCTGTGGCCTACTATGGACCTTTCCTGAGGGATATTCCACGTCGATTGGGCAACAGCACCGTACTAGATTCGGCCGTGAGAGCCCTGTCAACTGCCTACCCGTTTCTTCATACGGGCTCTTACCCACCAAATGCACTCGTTCGCTATGGACAATCGCTGCGGGCACTACGGGAATGCTTGAACAATCCAGTCGAGGCCCGAAGTCCCAACACACTATGTGCTGTATATTTGATTACCATCTGCCAGGTATGATACCATTTTGCATCGCCCCAGAGAGAGATTCCCATGGAATAGGGGCTAATCGTTGATGATATGTCAGAGCTGGCTGGGGAAACACGACGACTCGCTCACTGGTCACAGCGAAGCTATCGCTCATCTCCTTAGGGCTGCTGCACTTCATGAGTGGACAGGCAATTTTGAGATGGAGATGGTAATCACACTGTGTGTTCCTATAGTATGCTCCAACTTTAAAGAAAAAACCTATTTCATGTCATCATTCCTTACCGTCAGTGATTTTAACAGATACTCGACGGCATCGTCAAACCCTGTATCAAGATGGACTCAGAGTTTTGGGAACTCATCTCCTCCTTCAAACGTCGTCTGTCTGCCTCACGGGACAGCAATCGGCCACAATCAACCACCGAGCTGCACCACCTCGCTATGTTCCCTGAATTTGTCCTAAACCCCGACCTACACCTCGCCGAGATTGCGAAGAGATACATGCAATTGAGACTGGATGCAAACCAGGTAAAACAATATCTGGATCAATCTGCAGAATTCACTCTTGTGTCTTTCTCATCCTCTGAAGTTGCGAGACACTCCCGTATCCAAGCTGCTTATGCTATGCTTTGTACGCTGGCTGTGTTGTTAAACAGTCTTCTTCGAGTCTTTGATCCGTGGAACGCTTCCTTAATGAGTGAAGCAGCTTTTCTCTGTGATGAGATTACAATTCAAGCTGAACTCGCATCTTGCTACCGGCCGGTTGGGGCAGGGTACATTCCTCTATGCTTGGTTGTTGCTTGGGCGGCATCGGATAATCCAATCCAGTTGACGAGAATTGAAGGGATTCTTTCTGAATACCAGTCTGACTTTGCGGACGTGCCATGGATGAGCCGTGCTGTCTGGTTAGCCTCCACACTGGATCACCACCGCATACGGATTATCTCCGTGAAAGAGTCTCTAGAACCCCCTTTAGAGACCGTCTCCCTGGATTCTTTAGGAGGCAGTCGTGCGAGAAACAAGAAGCCTCCGGTACGCCCAGAGTCTTGCTGTATTGTCTAGGCTCAAAAGAAAGGAAAGAGAACTAGCAGAGAGAACATGTTGATCTATTGTATACCTATATACTTTTGTTTATTGTCCGTGGTGATGTTTCTTCTGCATTTCCTATGTATCCAGGCCCTAACCTACAATGACTCTCTTTAGAAGGGCTGGTAGCCCGGTTACTGCGATGAGTTGAGCTAGTCACTGGTTCATGCCGGGCAAATACCGTCGAAATGGAAAAGAAATTTTGACTTGGCTAAAAACATATGTGTATATATATCTGTGTACATGTTAGATGGCGTATCTGCGAGGAAAACAAAAAAAAGAGACCCGAAAAGAAAACCAATGCAAAGAGCCCATGAGAATGCACTGTTCCACAGACTATTTATTACAAGCCAGCGGAGCCAATGCTCTCAACACGAATACCTAACTGGCTCATCTTCTTGATCTCGACGATGCACCGCCCATCAAATAACCACTTCGGTGTTTCCATATTATCCGCAATTTTTTTCCAGTCAACTTGCTTCTTGTGAAGGTTGTTGAGATCGCGCACATCGATCTCGCTGCCGTTTTCTCTCTGGCAGTCTGGGCAATCTGCAGCACAATTGGGTTCAATTGCAAATTTCTCTTGAGCGTATGTATCATATAGTGGATTAGTCACACTACTCGGTCCAGAATTGGCTTCCACCTGGGAGGACTGATGCATACCCCGGCGCAAGGGCAGACTTCCTGGCGGAAGGCTTGAAGGACGAGGAGCGGCAACCACTTCAGAGTTTCGGAATTCGTCAAACTCGGTGACAATAAGTACTGCATTAGATGAAGCGCAGGCTTCATAAACGTCTGAATAAACTTTCACTGCACCACCGTCATCTCTGAGAGCCGGAGGTCCATATCCATGTAGCTGGCGAATCTCGCTCTCAATGACATAGGGATTGCAGCAAGGGTCAAATATTGCGATTTCTCCCGGGTTTTCATCAAGCAATGTCTTGATTATCTCAAGGGCAGGTGCCTCGCGGGTATCCGATGTGTTCTTCTTGAAGGCATATCCCAAGAGAGTGATCTTCTTGCCAACCAGGGTGTTGTTCAGACACTTGATGACGCGACTGGTAAATCGGTTGCGCTGATATTCATTCATGGTTACCACCTGACGCCAGTACGCCCCAACCTCCTTGAGACCCAAGGATTCGGCAAGATATACAAGACTGAGGACATCCTTTTTGAAACAGCTACCTCCGAACCCAATGCCGGCGCGGAGGAATTTGTCACCAACTCGGGAGTCCATTCCAACCGACGCCGAGACCTCATTGATCTCAGCCCCTGTGGCCTCGCAAAGCGCTGAAATGCTGTTGATGCTGCTAAGTCGCTGAGCCAACATAGAATTGGCCACGAGCTTTGCTAACTCCGATGACCAGATGTTCGTAGTGATGATGCGGGCTTGGTCAACCCAGCCAGAGTATACTCTGGCTAGTGTCTCTGCTGCAGCCCTTCCTTCTGCGGTCGTTGCAGAACCTATGATAACTCTGTCCGGATGCAACAGATCGTAAATTGCAGTCCCGGCTGCGAGGAACTCAGGGTTCGACAGGATCTCAAAGTGCTCACCGGGCCGACGTACAGCAATCTATGTGAATCAAAAGGTGAGTATGTCCTCATGATCAGATGGATGGTATGACCTACTATCTCCTGGATCATTTGGGCCGTTTTACAAGGAACTGTGGACTTCTCCACAATAATCGATCCGGTCTTTGCATGCTGCACAACGTCCGCGGCGACAGCTTCAAAAGCTGTCATATCTGTTGCACTCCCTGCTCCTGATCCTCGCATTTTGGTGGGGGTGTTGACCGCAATTATAATAATATCCGACTCTCGAATACATTTTGAAACGTTTGCAGAGAAGAACAAATTCGGCGCGCGGGAAGATGCAAGGCTTTCCTCTTGTTTGTGATGCCCTTTGTATGCTTCCTGCTCGTCAAGTATATATGATATCTGCTCTGGGTTTAATGACATGACCGGGGCAGACGAATTTCCGAGCCCATCCCGTGCGATCCGAACGATTTCGGCCAACCCAGGCTCGTAGATAGGTAGATGCCGGGAATTCCATCTTCGAATGCGTCGCTCATCTTTGTCCACGACGGTGACTCGAATCTGTGGGTTTTTGAATGCAATGACAGCAGCAGTTGGCCCTCCTGCCAAGAATCAGTTTGTATATTACGACAGAGAGAGAGAAGATCAGGGGCATCGGTGCAACCTACCAACATAGCCTGCGCCAACGCAGCAAATATTTCGGATTGGCCTTGGGTCAAATGGGGTATCTGGATCACTATCATCCCCCACAGTGGTTCTTGTACTACTCGAGGCTATGTCGAGTGAATCTGTGCCATTCAGGCTTTGCTCCGAACTTGTCGGCACATTTGATTCAGTTGAAATGGTTGCTTTGGGATCAAGTTCATAATCAATCGGCGAGGACATAGTTATCAAGGGGTTGGACTCCTATCGGATTTCTTGCATCCAAAAAGAGGGTAACTCGAAACAAAATGAATGTCAAACACACCCGAATCCTTCTGGACCTACCTGTCTTTTTATTGTCAATTTGGACCTCTTTCAACTGCCAAGAAAATACCTGTTAATAAATCACTACATGGGCACATTCAATACCTAGGGTACCTACTAGTAGTAATCCTTCACATACTCTGTATGGTGTATTCGACTTAAACATGAAAGAATCGGCTGACGATACGTGAAATAAAGGTTAAAACCTCGTAATTAATGGATTTTCCATCTACCATTGAGGTTGATGCATGAAGCCACGCGGTCAAAGGCCCCCCCCCTTACTTTACGGAGTACATCGATGTTGTACATGCGTTGCACACGTAATCGATGTTAATGAGATCAATACAAGAAATCTACAATCTATATACCCTGTTGCACGTATCGATGAGATGGATCAGCTAGATTTCCAGAAATATGACATTCTCTCTGATCTCAGATATTTCTGAAAGATAGACAGAAAAATGAGGACTTCAGGACGTTAGATACAGTGACTGGACATAAGTTTTTAACACGTCGGGCCCCACACCCCCCTGATTATATAATATACTGCCGGTCTAAAACCTCCATAAATTCATACTATAAAATCTAGTATGGTGTATACCACCCCTGGCTCTCAATGATAGCCTCCACCCGGTGCGGCATTGTCTCAGAGAGATGCTCCAGGTGCCTCAGCTCTAATTCATCCCATGCCTGCTGCGCTGTTGCCACTAGTATCTCCTTTGTTGTGTCATTGTTCTGCATATGTAGGAGATCAGGCCGAAGCTCGTATATCTTAGCTTTCAACAACGCCCAGAGGTTTTCAATTGGATTCAAATCAGGCGAGTGAGGAGGCCATTCCATAACTTCAATCTCCATCTCAGCTAATGCATCCCGTACAACATACGCAGTATGTGTCGGAGCATTATTATGCTGAAAAATACTATCTAGATTTGTAAGCAAGATAGGTAGAACCCGGCGGTATAACTCCTCAATCACTAGGCCAGTGATACCAGTACGCTCAGCCTCAGGATTCCCAAAGAGTGGTATAAGCCCTGTACGCCGTATAGCGCCAGAAAATGCAGCCCAAAACATCTGCTTCACTTGCTTTCCTCGGTGTGGTAATCCTTGACATTGTCCCTCCTTCGGTTGGTCTTTTGGACGGATAAAGGTCCACTCTCGACGTACACCAATCCCACGCTCAACAGTACACTCATCAGACCAAAAAACACGGGCCCAATCTTCAGGTGTAAAGTGCCGATAGCGTAGGGCCCAGCGAAGGCGTTTAACCGCGTGTTCTTCCTTTAAAAAGGGCCGCCAGCTACATCGCTATTTACGGAGGTTCTCCGCATTTAAAAGACGTTGTATAGAGCGGTATTTGACCTTATGATCAACCTCAGCAAGGAGGTCTTCGGCCATAATCTTTGGGTTTCCGTGGATAGCGTTCAAGATCTGGTCTTTATCAGCTTCAGTAAGCTTTTTTGGCCTTCCAGATCGCGGTTTTGATACGCCTACTCGGCGCTCGCTCTCCTTTTTCACAGTGTACCGGATTGTAGAGATTGGAATATAAGGATAGCGGTTATGAATACGTCTATACCCCCATCCTATAGCATGTAGCTCACATATACGCTCACGTATAGCAGGCGTAAGCTCTTTTGAACGCGCCATAGGTGGAATGGTATAGAGGGTAGAGAGGAGAGATACTAAAGAGAGAGATAAATATAGGTAATTGGATCTCCTTTTTGAAAAGCAGCTTCACGTACTATTTTAGCGTGGTTTTCATATACGCGTTTTAGGTAGGCGGTATATCCCTACACTAGCGGTGAGCTATGTGGGGCTATGGGTGTGTTAAAAACATATGTCCACTGACTGTAAGGCTATTGAATTCTGTAAACCAAATCCGAAGGAGGTTTCTATTTGGTATTTGGTAGTGTATCAGTATGGCGGTTCTTTTAGCGCGTGCTAAAAAAAGAGAACGCTAAGTCGGTTGGAAGTAGCCTGCAGACGAATCTAAAGCCTTCAATTGCACATGTGCACATCAAAAATGTTCCTAACAGTATTTTTGGTTTTGGAGGTCCTTGTTCGACCAAATTAACACGAAAGGGGAAAATCCCCCGATCAAGTGGAATTACCAATTCTGGATGATTTGGTTCCTAATGTTCTTGCTATCACTGTTCGACTTAGAATGTACAAGGTATTACCGTGGGAATCCTTCTGGATTGTCCATTGCTGGACCTCAACCCCATTCACCGGTGGGTCTTCAGACGTTTGAGGAAATGCCTGAACATAGAGAGTACGACTTGCTATTTCCTGCCAAGCGACCCGAGTGAATTAACCTATTATTGGCAGTTGGTCACCGGCAATTATCTTTCTAAATCCACTGAGGGATTTTCCACGTACGTCAAAAACGCCAGCGTGTGTGCTTCGCACATTGCTTTTAGGGTGTGATAGTTAGCCCCCTAAATCCTGAATCTGACTCCATATTACAACTTGAAGCTATCTACGGAGTACATACTCCGTAGGTAATATAATACTGGTAAATAGAATACCTGTATGACTTTCGTACGGAGATCCTTGCCCGGAGTTACACCCGTTTCTCGGTACGACTCGGCTACTGGAACCCGATGTATCAGATTGGTTTGCTTGTGCTTTCGAATTCTCGACCTCGCCTGATTGGAGTATCGCGCTGATACTGTGCGTACTCTCTCTCTCTCTCTATACATGGTCGCTGCATCTATGATACTGCAGAGCTCTTCTTAGAATCTAGCTCTGCTTTGCTGAAAAATGCACAACCAGCTGCTACAAGAAAAATACCTGTGCCGTTCAAGACATCCACTGTGAAATCTTTGAACACAAAGATTCCAATAGCTAGCGTGAGAGCCTGCTTAAGGTTCCCGCAAACCGATATTGTTAGCGCACCGGCCAACTTGTTGGTTTGGAATGAAGACACATTAAGGAAAAATGCTAGCAGTCCATTTCCCAGTAGGAATATGACGGTAGCCACGGTGACTAGTCTCGAGGACTCGGCTGCACGCTGAGACATGGAATCTGCAAAGGCTGGCAGCTCCCCGGCAATTGCCGCAAGCACAAAGGATTGAATCGCAGCGAGTGGAGACATTCGGAACAGAAGCTCCATTGAAGGAAGTGCCAGGGATCCTGTCATCAACCGGTTGGTTGTGACGGTCTTTCATCTTGTCAGTGTAGCTCCACTCAGAATAGGAAAAAATCCCAAGAGTATAATACCTTGATAGCAGCGAGGACAACTCCGATGACCGTTATGAATAGACCAAAAGCAGAGTAACGGAATTCTCCAACAACAGTCAGTCCCGCCCCGATGATGATAGGACATAATGAAAGGTATGTCGCCATGTAATACGAGCGTCCGAACCAGACTCGGTATATCAGAACGGTGAATATGGGGACCGTGTTGCGGATGATTTGGAAGAAGGCCAGGCTCACGAGGGATCTATGGAAGAGGCGTTAGAGCTCAACGTTCAAGATATCAAAATGGTCACATACAGCGAAAGATTTGACATCGCGATGTTCGCTGTGAAGAGAACGGAGAAGGCGACTAGGGCCAGATGGTCTCTGTGACCCAATCTTGAGAGCTTGAAACGTCCCAGTTTCAATAGTACAAAGGTACCCAGCGAGGCGAAAGTGGTATGCATACATGTTAGCAGCCAAGGAAATTTGAACTGTCAATAGCAAATCAGTATTTGAGACTTATCGCAATTACGGCAATGCTCACAGATCCTAGAAGGAGCTTGTTGTACAAGGTCAATAACATGCTGAATAGGAAGTAGAAGCCAAGCCACATGAACTTCACGGACGTTGGCGTTTGATACTCGGGCTCGATGGTCGTTGTTGTATCTTCATGTTTGTGATTGGATTCGAGATCGTCGGAAGCCGCTGAGAGGGAGTCGTCGTTGAGCAAGGCCAGCTCTGCCTCATCTGACTCACTAGATTTTGCACTCATTTTATATCTACAAGATTCGAACTCTTGTAAAAGTGGGTGAGAGAAGACAAGTTACGTTTTGCCAGTGCTACGTTAAGTATTTTTTTCCAGCTATGAGATAAGCCACCACCTTTGCAGTCAGTGCCTTATGCCAAGATCGAACTTGTTATTTCTATGAATTATGCGGGTGTGTAGGCCTATTACAGGTATGTTTTGTATGTACTCAGTACGTGTATTTTGTATCTGTCAGGTATTTGTTACGTTTTCGAGGTACTTTGTGTACTTGATGTATTTTTCTTGGGTATGATGATTTTCGTACGGCATACGTATAGATAAAATCCAAGTTTTTCATTTATCCGTTTAGATCCTCTTCTCACTTGTTCATGACGTCGGTTGCGTGTTGTAAGGGTGAAGAACCAATGAAAAAGATGATTTATGAAAAAGGGGGAAGGAGGATAGGGAACGTTGACTTCGTATCGTCGTATTTGATGTTTGAAGAGACCCGGTCTTGGCCAGAGACCTACCTGCTTGGAATCTCTTCACTTCATTTTCATTCTGAAAAGTGCTATCTATTTTCCCACAGACCCCTAAACTGTCTATTTGGCATTCGCATGGTCACCTCTCGTCGACCAATATGATGATACTCACCAGTCGGTGGCATTGGGCAATCCTAATGAGCTTCGTGGTAGTTGCCTTGGTCACCCTATCTCAATTTCATTCTCCTATCGGGGAGGGAATCTCTATCCCAGGATCATCCGACAATGTAAGACCGCCTTTGAAGACCGCCCTGTGGCATCTAACCCCAGGTAAAGAGATTAACTTCTTTATCAAATAGACAACTTTCTCGAGCAACGAGATCACACCCACCAACGAGAGTTCACCCAACAAGACACCCAGCAACGGGATTCTCGCAAACACAGAACAACCCTCGAAAACCTCGAAATTCCATTTGCTTATCCCTGCAAATGGTCCTCACTTGCAGCTATGTAGGGCTATTGTATCATCAACCATATTGAGGTATCCGGTACCATTTTTTAATGGCTGGAATAGAACCGGGGACTTGGATGCCTCCCTGACCCACTTAGCCAAAATCCGGAATGTAATGCGCTATCTAGACAATTTACCTACTGACTCGAACGACGATCTCGTCCTTATGATTGATGGCTATGATGTGGTCTTTCAACTTCCCGCCGATGTTCTCATTCAACGGTACTTCGCTGTCATCGGAACAGCAAACGTCAAACTTGCTGCGCAATACGGGCTGGACTCAGTAGAAAGCCTTTCTGGAGATAGAAACCCACGACAAACCATTCTATTTGGTCCCGAAAAACTCTGTTATCCATTCGACTGGAATCGACCGGGGTGTTGGGCTGTACCCGAAGATATCGACATTCCTGTTGGGGCATTCGGACCTGACCACGGCGGATACAGTCACAATCTACCCCGGTGGCTCAATTCGGGCACCATAATGGGCCCAGTAGGGGACATGAGAGAATTGTTCGCAGCGACTTTGAAGCGGATCAATGCCACCTACAACCCCCAGCATGAATTCAGCGATTCGGATCAATTGTACATGGGTGATATCTGGGGCGAGCAAGAGTTTTGGCGTTCCGTAAACAAACACAACCATTACTTCCATGATGACGTGGACCCAAGAAAAATCGCACCAGCTGGGGGGCCAGACCAAGTCATTCCAACTAGGGTTGCCGGCCAAAAAACGGAATTTCACATTGGAATTGACCACAAATCCGGGCTTTTCCAGACGCGTGCGGGCTCTGATCATGTTCTTGAACACCTTGCTTTCAACCAAACTGTATCTGACGGTGTTGGTGCTTCAGCCTTGATAACTCGAAATTCGATTGAAACCCCAAATTTTCAGCCCTATGAGATTCAACTGCCCGTCAATGTCATCTCTTCATTGACAAGAATCTCGAGTGCGATATCTGACGTCCTCAAGGCCGACCCAAAAGATTTCGTCACAAAAATACATCTCGGAACCAACCTAGTGACAAAACGTGTCTATGCACTGTTTCATTGCATCGGGGAAAAGACTTATCTCAATGACTTGTGGTATCGGCTTTGGTTTCAACAGCATGCTCGGTTACTTCTAGAAGCGGGAATTCAGTCTATGAAAGAAAAGAAGGACATTTCCAATGTCCTGATCGATGGACGAAAATGGGCCATCGCTCATAGCTACCCGATCACATCCGACAAGGGTGTAAACGCCGCTGGTGCATGGGTGGATGTTGATGGCCAGTGGCTAACATGGAGAGAGCTATGCCAATCATTCGAAGACGACATTTTCGGGATGAAACGATAATATTGGACTGCAATCTAGCGTTGGAGTTAGATTCATGTATTTTTTACATTTCTTAGGTCATCATTTGTCTAGTTTAAACATAACAATCCCGTACATCTCAGCTTGCTGGAATCCTAGTTGGATCTGTAACGCGGCCGTCATTCACATACTGTGTGATATTTGGTACCTATTCAGTTTCGTGAAAATCTGAACACTCCAAGTTAAGATAGGACGGCAAATGTCGATGTTTCATGAGAAAAAAGAAAATACATCAATCAAATCAAAAGGCTGTGTTCCTGCTATTCTCTGGATCAACCTGTGCCGTCATATTTCGGTCGTCGCTTCATGGACTTCCATTGAACAAGTCCAGCACCGATAAAAGATAGCAGTGCGCCTGCAACAGACACGTAAAACGTCTGAATGACGGCAGTGTTATAGGCGCGTAGAACGGAGGGCAGAATGTCTTTAGGCACGCGGTGGGATAAATTTGCGGCTCCAGCATTTATCAATAACTTTGGAACAACATTGGGAGCATTTGCCGTTATGCTGGCCACAAGGCGATTCTCAAAAACAGTTTGGGCAATTGAAACAAACATTGCGCCACTTAGACTCTGTGCAAATGTGACGATGGCAATCCCAATAGGTATGTCCTGTAATGGCAGTACAGTCTGGAGTGCGTTGATGCATTGCTGAAAGCCAAGTCCTGCGCCAATTCCAAGAATAACTTGATATCCAATCCACTGCGGATGTCCACTTTTCACTTCAAAAGTTGTACATAGTCCAGAGCCAATCGTAAGCAATGAGCTTCCAGCAAACATGAGGGGTGTATAATACCCAAGGAGATTCACGAGTAGCCCTCCTATAGACGAAGATACAATCATAGCTATCACCATCGGAAGGTTGTTGATTCCAGATTCTGATGCAGAATCCTCTTTGACTGCCTGAAACCAGATAGGGAGCTTGGAAGCTTGTTAGCAATGAAGCCGAGAGGAGTGAGTTCAGAACGCACATAGTATCCAAAGACAAAGAATGAACCACCGAGGAACGTAGCGTGAATCACTGCTCCAAGCACATTGCGATTTTTGAGTAAACGTGGTGGCACTGTGGCATCGTCCTGCTTCCAGACCTGGATCACACACCACACAGAGCTGAATACCCCAAAGAGAACAAATAGTGCAATGATTCGAGGGTTGTTCCAGCTGTATCTGGTGCCGCCCCATTGCAGGCCCAATAGAAGGGAGACGACTGCAGGGATAAATGCAATCACACCAAGAGGGTCCATCCGCTTTAGCTGTCCCAGACGGCTGATTTTGGGTCTTGGTGATGTGGAATCATCGAAGAAAAGTAAGATGATAAGGCCCGTGAGGAGGCCAAACGGTAGATTAATCCAAAAGCACCATCTCCAACTGACATGATCAGTTAGGATTCCTCCTAGCCTGTGGTCAAATTAGCCGCCATTTGATGTGATCAAGAGAGCGAAACTCACAATGGTCCTGTGATTGTTGCAATTCCACTAGTGCTACCAATGATTCCGAAATAGAGGGCACGCCGGTGAAGGGGCACACTATTGGCGAGTACGAGTAGAGCACCCGGCGACAATCCTCCAGACCCGATGCCGGCAATTGCTCGCCCAAAAATTAATCCTTTTGATGTTGGTGTGACTGCACATATCAAAGACCCAATTTCAAACAAGCCCAGAGCAACCATATATGTCCACTTTGTCGAATAATATGTGTATACCTTGCCAAATGGTAGAGTAACGGCACATGTGGTCAACAGATAAGCGCTGGCATACCACGATATATCGCCTAATGAGTTGAATTGTTCAGTGATCTTGGGAACGGCGGTTGAGAGAATTGTGTTGTCCTGGTAAATCTATTAGCCGATGAAATGGCCACAGTGACGTGAAGCTTACCAAGGCGATGCAAAAAGATTGAAAGCAAAGTCCGATCAAAATAGGAGCAAGCTTTGAGCTTGGTGGATAGACTTGCCTTTCTTCACCGTCACTGTCCTCAGTTCCAGCCTCTTTCAATGGGATGTCATCTCGATTTGTGTAAACTGGATCCCGAAAATCTCTCATGCTTGAACTGTTTTTTTAAACTGGATTTCAAATTCTCCAGTTCACGATCAAACCTCATAAAAGGAAATGAGCTTGGTCGAATCATCCGTGCTGAGGCTTGAAGGGTGTCTGGGGTGGACGCATTAAATCCAAGGCTGGATGTACAGTAATCTTCTTGTAGGGACATATATGAACCTACATTACTACAAATGTAACCCGATAAAGTATGCAAGGGGCGTACAGCTTGATCTATGCTCGAGGCATTTCATTTTCCTCACTTGGTAACATTCTTGCTGTGTTAATTGGTATGCAGTACTTTTTCCTAGACAAGATGCTTACTAGAACTAAGTAGCATCTATATCTTCGGTCGAAGAATATCCAATAATGCACTGAAAAGCAACCAATATTTCACTCCGTAATGAGCTGATGAATTGGAGGTCTGTACCATTGGATGTTGCTTGACAGTTGAGGTCGATCACTCTCTCGACGTGTTAATCACAGGATCCTACATTCCAGTGTGACGGTAACCTTGCCAAAAAGAGAGCTCATAAAGCCCTAATATCCAGTAATAGATAGCTGGCAAATGTACTCAATATTTTGGTGGTCATCTAAAGAAGAGGGTCATCGGCGACCCAATACTGAAGATACATTCAGCCGTCATATAGTGCTTTCTAGGACCGCAAAGAAAAATTTGGGGGTTGAGCCTTGCGAAGTGTCCGACATACTGGGGCTGTTAGCTTGATCACGACAGGCATCCTTAATAGCCCATGTTTCTATGAACCTACTGGTTATGACCAATCTGCCACATCTGTATAACCAACTGTCTCAGCAAAGGCCTTGTGTGCGTCTTAGCATTGTTAAAATATACCGACCGTACATAAATCCCAACCTCGTGATGCGCGCAATGAGAATGCTTGCTTGTTTTCAAGCTTTATCATGGGGGTGCTCTGCGATTTTCTCATAGGATATATCATGGAACATTTCGATTGCGATCAGGGTACTATTAACCCACGAGATCATACATATTTACGAAGTTCAAATTGGCTAAAAGCGTGATAAACATGGTAGCCAAGGCCACGCACCCATTGAACATCCTGCACTAGGGGCGTGAGAAAATCGCATAGACTACCCTTGCGTAAATAAATATCGTCCTACTACAAAGCGAGAATTGGGAGGATACCTGGGGCTATGCACCTGAAGGATTCTGATGAGATGTAGTTTGGGCGCCAAAGAAAGGAAAAGATTGCCTCCGGAGAAACCATACAATCGGACTGGATAACGAATATTCGAAGATTGTTTCAAAGGGATAGATAAAAGGGGCTGTGGGACGCATCAAGTTTTTTGACGCCCGCAGATCTTTGAGGAATCTTCATCGATCAACGATGTACGGAGTAGGTACATATTATTCCGAGGAATGTACATGAGCTGACGTCGACAGATCTTCTCCCGGCTCTGTTTTTACCAGCTAAAAATTAAAGCTCATACTGGGCTATCTTATTGGACCTTTTTATATTGCTCTGAGCTCTGTCCGTGATCACAACATCACTGCTCGTAGACTTAAGCTAATCCCCTGCCTGGCGAAAGCGCGGTTGTCGCGATGGCGGTTTAAACCTGCCATACTTTAGGCCTAAATTCGAAGTTCCTCGTCTTTGTGAGTTCGATATGTGTTGGTCGGCGACAACACACATAAAAGAAAGTACGAAAAACTTAGGGTGATAGAAGTTGAAGTGTCAGTGGTGGTGTTGCCCAAGTGCATTCACTGGGGCTTGTCGAGTTATATGTGATGTGTGAACGGGCTCTTAACTTTTTAAGATAAAGCAAATATATTATTTACAACGAGATTCTTCTTCACCACATGGCGGGCTGCTTTTGAATCTCATCTGGCACGCTAAAATACCCTCTATTCGCTAGATGCCGTTGGAGCTCTCGGAACTTGCTGGTTTTTGCCCTCTTTTCAAACAGGATATCAATCTCCAAGTAACTTAACCCGAATGTCTCTGGTAGTCGTAGATAGCACCAAATAAAACACACGGCGCTGAATCCCAGAAAGAAAAAGCACGACTTGCCCTTCCAGTTCCAGGCTGTAGGATTCAGCATTCGTGGGGTGATGACATTGGTCGCGATAGAGGCCACATTGTAAACGATACGTGCGAGGATAACAGTCTTAACTCGCAGCCGGGTGCAAGGAACTTCTGCAACGAGGACATAACATATAGGCCCAATGCTGAGGTTGTAGATAAATGTGAGGAAGGTAATCAGACCCCCAAGAGCCCATGACTGGGAATTTGTGGTAGGTAGGAACCCAATACTCCCTGCAATGGCGAGAATAACCATTGAGGCAGCGAGACCAATGAGGTAGATCCTACGGCGCCCGGCTCTCCTCATCCAAAACCACGACAGGATCGCGCCAACAATAGCTATGCCGTACATACCGATGGCAAGGCTGAAGGAATTTTGCACGCTGAGACCGGCTTGCTCATAGAAATATGCAGCGTAAGTCCCCGAGCTGGAGAACGACGCTTGCTGTGTAATCCAGATCATGCAAGCAATCTCCGTCCGTCGGAGATTAATCCCTTTGAAGCAGTCCAAGTATGTAATTTGACCGTTGCCCAGATATTTCTCTGTCTCATTGGTATGTGTCATCATCGCTACTACCTCGTCAACGTTGAAACTGTCTCCGTGGGCTGTGGTAAGGCGTAATAATGTTCTTCTGGCTTCCTCGGGCCGCTCTTTGCGAATCAGCCACCCTAATGATAGTGTAAGGTTTGATGACCGACCAAAGAATTGAGCCAAGGGACAACGCACCTGGGGACTCGGGTGCAAAATAAACGCCGATGATAATGGGAAACGCTAATGCCCACTGTAAGGCCAGTGGTAAGCGGTATGCCCACTCCGTTCCATTGCCTGCTTGGCTGCGGACTACTCCAACAGCACAGAGCTGTCCTACCAACCAACAGATGTTCATGCTACTCAAAACATACGCCCGAAGTGCAACTGGCAGAACCTCTGCCGCATACGTTGTGGCCAAGGTCTGAAAGATTCCCCACGGAATGCCGCATAGAACCTGGCCGGCCAGAAACATTTGAACATTCACAGCGAAGAAAGGCAAGGATATAAAACAACACAAGGAGACCAACGCCGTCAGTATTGTCCGGCGATAGCCGAACCGGTCTGCGAGAAAGCCGTTCAAAACCAACCCGATAATTTGGCCTACCACAGCTGAAGAGGTCAAGGCGGATTGCCACTTGGGGGATATTTCAAAGTTTCCGGGTTGAGATGGGTCTGGAGCTCCATATTTCTGTTTAAAGCCCGGGAATGTAAAGAAGCTGACGAGAAGTGTCGTATCGTAGCCTTCCATAATGATAGTGAAAGAGAGGAAAATTGACCAGAAGATTGCCTTTGGGTAAAGTTGACAGCCGGTAAGCAGTGACATCTTTTGCTCTGCCTTGGTAGCTGCTCTGGCGCCCGATGAGAGCGGCTGTAGGCTGGGGATGCGGGCTGATAGATCAGAAAAAATGTCCTCATGGTGGGAATGTGACCCTTGCCCTAGGGGGATCTCATCAAACGAGACTTCCACCAAGTCATGGCGAGCTTTGGTTGCCATATGGTGGCATGGAGGGGAGTTTGTAAGATGGACAGACAGTGATTCCCAATCTCAATTCAACCAGTCGTTCAAGAATTGTTATGGAAAAATCAAAGGACGAAAACAGATCGATCCCAAAAAAAGGGGGTCGATAGGTGTGGGGGAAGAGTTTGGGGAAAATTTCTCCACGGCCTGATCACATAGGGGATGGCGTTGAATTGCCGTTGGCGACCCACTGACGGAAGTGCAGGTTGATGATTCGATGAGTGGCCAACTTCCCCAGCTCTCGGCAAAAAAGGAGTTCTCGACCGACACTAGACCTCGCTAGTGATAGAAAGGTTCCGATGCCCCTCGTGTTGATTTCCCCAGAGTTCGGAGGTGAAGCGGAACGGTCCCCGCTACAATGATGTCCGTGCCCAGGGTAGTTAGCGTTTTTATCCACATTCTTACGGGGAAGTTCATCACACCTGCACTATTGCAAGGTGGAAAATGTTCTCACTTTCTCTCGAGGGCTCGAGCGGCACCAACCACCTTACGACGCTTTCAACTTGGTCATTTCCCGATTTGAATTCCCGTGTATTGACATCCCAACTTGGGGAATTCGCCTAGTTATGTTGAGGTACCACGATCTTGTGGAGATCAGATGTTAGCTAGATCACCAGGTTACGGTAAAAACCAGGTAGGAGAATAGACCTCTGGTGGCGCTCAACGAAAAACTCACAAATATGAACCTAATCACTTGTTTCACACGCTGGATAAGGCCTCATAACCCAGGTAATGTATATTGAAAAGCTGCAAGGAGGCCTCAATTGCTCGAGTGTTGCTCAAAGGCGTCCTGAACGGGGGTTGAAGTGGGAGAATCGGGACTTTGGTCGACTTTGGTCGAATTTCCTCAGGGGTATACAATCGGATTTGGTGATATATGTGGCGTTGATGCTTCCAGCTCAATTATCAATGCGAGAAGTCATTGAGGTTCTCAGAAACATGTATCCCAAGAACCAGGAAATCAGTACGATGACATATCCGGGCTAACAGATCTGCTAGTCTAGTAAGATACACCTTCAAGCCCACGTTACTCCAAATTCCACTTCTCATACAAATCCTGTCTCATGTCATCGAGCTCCTGTCCGGAGGTGCGGTTGTATCTTGCTGAGATTGTCACGGAGTCTCACGTGCGCCTGCCCAGTTGCCTAATTGGGTCAACACTAGGCGGGAGTCAAAGATGTAGGCTGAAGAACTCTGGCTTAGCCAGGGGCAATATACTCGCAATAAGCTCGTTTTGCCTCCACATTATCACATGGCCTGCTGTATGTTTTGTAGTAAATGTTCCCATGTGGATTGGCACGTGATCTCTTTGCTGTCTACTCCATAGATAACTTTGTACTGATCCTGCTATCAATTCTTGGCCTTTGCTTTCAACTTTCGAGTCCAGTTGTGACTGGTGAGACCATCTCCTGTTTACTCCGTTGAGCTATTGATGGGGATCTTAGAACGCAGATCCTACTTGAAACGGTCCCCGCTTTTATTGGGGAAAGATTTACATACAAAATGTCTGTTCGGTTTCAGATCAGGTAATTCTGCGGACATAGACGGAAAACCCAGTTTTGCATATACCAGATTGACAATGAGAGCAAGTGATCTTTTCACAATACCCTTCTAGAGTACCTGAGATAGGGTGATCTTTTCCTGTTCCCACACGGACGTGAAAAGGCACCCTGATGACCGCTTTTCAGTTGCTTAAAGTATGAAGATATTTGCATATAAGAAGGAGCTGCTGGCTTTCGATTCTCTCCAGCAATTCTACATCAAGAAGAACAGTCAACCCAGAAAGACCTTCTTATCCATCCTATTGCAAGATGCAACTGCTTTCTCTTGTCCATGTCATGGCACTTGTGCCTGCAGTGCTCTCGTCTCCAGCAACAAAATTCAACAAGTTTGCAATCCGGGCTGATGATCGGGGTAACGAAACGATTTCTGGCTTAGGAGCCCGCAAGCAGGAGGTTGTTGGTGCTGGTGGCAACACCCGTGACCTCGCAATTGCGATGCTGGAGACGTAAGTTCATCAATAATCTGATTATGATACAGCCCAGATGGCTGAATTGAACTAGAAAGACAATGACGACCGATTACACATATGGTATGTACTGGCATCATCCGGCTTGCGGAACCAGTAGAGTGCTGACAGTCATCCTCACAGGCGATGGAAAGGTTGGCGACGCCACAAACTTCGGCATCTTCAAGCAGAATTGGTACGTTCTGCGACACTCAGCATCCGAATTCCTGGGACAGTCTGTGGCCGAGGTCGATAATGGAGCAATTCTCAAGTAAGTCCTCTAGCTATAGATTGCCCCGATTATGCTGGCTGATGCTCCAGTACTAGCTCCGATCTGGGCAAAGATATCCAAGCCCGCCATGAGGGTGAGGATCATTATGGATTTGAGATCTGGTTTAGTGGCCACCGTAACGGAGAGAGCGGTATTAAAAACCCCGGCACGTCGGACATCAATGGTGAGTTTTCCTATCCCATGAATCGTTTGACGTATCTCACATCGTGGATAGCATACATCGATGCTATAGCTTGGATTCAACAGCAGATTGAGAGCGATGAGAAGTATCAGTCTGATGATACTCGGTTCTGGGTTGATGTTCAGGCAATTTAGGGCGTGACTGGAAAGCACACGAGGACTATGAAGCTGTATAGGGACCAGGGTTCAACACCCAGTTTTGGCAGGTGGTCCTGATGCTTGAATGCCTCAATTTGTACTGCCCCCTGCATCGCTCCCTGCACCGCGTTGTACCGCGTATTGTGAATTATTCTCAGTTTGAATGAAGCTTGTGATCACCGTACAAATCAATATGTCTCCATATTTTTATGTGGCTGCGAGTCCTGAAAAATGAATATTTTCATCCTACACAAATCCAGGGAGTTCCATTTGTATGGAGATCGAAAGTGTCCCTTTTTGGGACTTGTCAACGCCAGTACAATCACCTGCAGGATACTTTGATTATTAAGTCATGTGTATGAATAATTCCGTTATGTTGGGCTAAAGCAAGTTTCTAAGACATCAATTCCTTCCTATAGGCGATGAAAATTGAAGTGTCGGTGGTGATGAACAACTCAAATCTCTATATGAAATTTCCGAAAGGCCTAGAAAGCTCAGAGCCCGACCCCAGTTTACTTATGTCATATTATACTAGACCGTTTTTCTTGTTCCAACCCCTTTCGCATTTTCCGATTTGTCACAATAACCATACTGTAATGCATGACCATCAAATGTTTCAATTCATCGTATCATTCGTATCATATATGGGTGGCCTCGACTGTCACATATGTTATTGCGGTGTTTGGGGAGCCATCGACCAGCGGTGATTCAAACCACCTCTTCATGGGTTGCACCACCAATCTCCATCTTAGCACCAAGGTCCTTGCGACGTTCAATCTCTTCTCCAAAAAGATCTCCGATTTCGTGAGTGCGCCATGGCTTGATATTCGTCTCGAAGACCAGGTCGACCTCCTCGAGTGACCGGCCCACCGTTTCAGGATACATGAAGAACACGTGGAAAATCATGACAGTACAGAATACCCCGAAAATAATATATGTTTTCCACTGAATATTGTGGAAGGCCGGGGCCACAAAGTAAGCCAGGGCAAAATTGAAAATCCAGTTCGTGGCCGCCGACAACCCGACGCCCTTCGCTCGGTACTTAAGAGGGAAAACCTCGGCAGCATAAACCCAAGCAGTGGGAGCCTATACATGTTAGCATGGTCGTTCCAAGTGTAATACAAGATATAGCATACCCAAGTCAGGCCGTAGATGCCGGTGAAGATGTATGAAAAAGCGATAACTGTCATCCCTGCACTGCCCTTTATCTCCCATGTCAAGTTCGCATTGCCATTCACGTTTGCAACTGGATTGCCTTTGCTTGCCATGACACCAGCAATGATGAAGTGCACAACCATGCAGGTGACAGATCCGAGAAGAAGTAGACTTCTTCGTCCAACGCGGTCGATGAAAGGAAGCATAATGCCGGTAGTCACTAAGAAGATGACATACTGAATGGCGGAGGACCACAGAGTTGTGTTACCAGTCTGTACTTGGAGGTTAGCGAAGCCACTGGAAGTTTCTGTTTCGTTTTCGATGGGAACCTTACCATGCCAGCCATCTCGAAGATATAAACCACGTAGTACATCGCAACATTACCACCAAGGAGCTGCTGCCACATTTGAACGCTCATTCCGCACATCGTGCGTTTCCAAACACGAGGTCCAAACAATGCTAGGAAGGAGACATTGTGAGATTCAAGCGCAACGTGGACGGCCTGTTGAACTTCTTCGAATGCAACCTGCACAACCGGGTCATGGCGATCACCATTGGCATGAATAACTGCCAATGTGTCCAACGCTTCTTCCCAGCGCTCTTGCGAAGCGAGCCAGCGAGGGGACTCCGGGAAAAAGAACAAAGCGATAAACAGGATGAGCCCTGGAATAGCCTGTACACCCCAGCAAATCCGAAAAGCAGCCGCGCCAGACACACCAACCACGCAGCCATATGCGATCAAGTACATGATCAAAATACCCCATTCGATTGCCCATTGTTGGATACCAACTACACGACCACGGATATGGGCAGGTGCCAGTTCTGATAAGTAGACACATGTTTGCGAGGAGGTCACACCAACTGCAAGCCCACTGACAACACGACCAGCGACCAAATGTGTCACGCTTTGTGCACTACATTGAACCATTGCTCCCACGATCCAAACAAGAGAGGCGATCATCAGTGCATAGCGACGGCCAAGGATATCTGATAACCAACCGGCTGCAATTGAGCCCGCAAAAGAACCAGCGGACATTGAAGCTGTAATCTATGACAGAATGTCAGCATGTGAAGAAATATTGGAGACGGAGAAAGCACTTGCTCCGCCTTGGAGGTTGGAGTCTGGCGAGCCGAAGTAATCTGTGTATGTATCAACGCCAATCCAGGCGCTCATGGAGCTATTTCTCGGGTTAGCCTCCGCGATATCATTACCAGCAAAGTAGTTTCAAATGTACGTACCTCACATCAAAGCCAAAAAGAGCGCCTCCAATGGTACCAAAGGCAGCAAGCACTGTGGACCGTTAACGTCACGAACATGCGCTCAAGGGCCAGACTCGAAATACCATAAATGTTTGTTATGGTATACATGATTGCGATTAAGCCATGTAGATTGTCAGTCGAAGTTTTGGGCTTGCGGCGAGGCGTTTTATAGGGGAAAGTAGGAGTAGATCGACAGGTCAATGCACGATTCGGCGTGTCGGGCTACGCGACGTTGCATGGTCTGATCTCCGGACCCTGGAGAGCGAAACATCAACAAGCACAAGTTGCGGAGCGAGAGACCCAGGGCACAAAAGTTGGAGGTGGACACGGCGTCGTTGGCCTATTGATGCAAAGAGCCAGTCGGGGCATTCACAACCATTTATTAGCCGAGATGTTATTTATCCGCGAGATCATCGTCGATTCCAGATGTATTTCCCCCACGGATAATTTAGCCAATATCATCTCCATGATTGTTTGTATCTTGCAATCATGATTATACCTATTCTCTTCCCCTCCCAAGGCGAGCTCGGCCCGTTTCTCACAATGGATCGGCATACCGACGTCATGCCGCCAGACAAACTTGTATCAAATTTAAGTTGGTCTTCGCGAAGGATACCGATGAGATCTAGATTTGTTTCGGAGAAATGAGGTCCGAGATATATACCTATGCAACGGTACATGAATGACCGCTTCATCTGGCAGTCTGACTGAGAAACCGGATAGAAATCCGCTAGAAAAGAGGACGAGGGAGAAGAGTGTGGACTTCATCAAATTCAACTCTAGTCGCCACTCAGAAAATACTTTCTCGGTTCGCTCAAAGCGTTTGATTTCTGCTGGGGAAGGTCGGGTAAATAGGTATATCGCGGTGCATATCATGAAATCTCGATGCTCCACATAGGCTGATCCTTGTTTATTGTTCTTTTTCGTTTTCTTTCTCTTCTTCACTCGTATTAAATTATTTTCAAATTGATATCAATAGTGTGATCTGTCGGTTTAGGGTTCTCGTAGAGCCGACGAGCATTCTGCTGCACGAGACAGGTATTGAGTGCAGGAGTCAGTACCCAGGACTATAGTTCTAGAGACTGTGCGGTAAATCACAAATGAGGTGTTTAACTGAACGTTTGCGTCTCTGACAAGTCTGGCTCGCCAATTATGTAATTTCGGGAACAATTTCACAGGAGGGGGCATAGTGAAACACTTGCATTCGAGGCAACAAAGATCAAAGCCTAGTGGCTGGGATGTGAAAGCCCAGAAATGGGATATTTAACATGGCAAGTACTCGGATCCGGTAGAACTATCACTCCATGGCTGTCCAAATGTATTACAAAAGCAAGCTTAAGAGAAAATGTAGATTGAGCGCCTAAACAGGGCTTGAACAGAAGCATTGGCCATTCTATGAGATCTAGGTATATAGCTCATCTCTCTATGGTCTATATTTCAAACCAACAACGCGTAAAAAAATACATCAGAACCAATACACTAAAGGCATATACATGCCGCAAAACCAAAAATTTACAGCTTGCTTCTGGCCGGCTCGTTCTTGAGCAATGCTGAGTTCCACGGGTAAGGGTCAAACACCAAGTCGTTAACAGGGTTTTCCTCGCTTGCCCGGCGGAACAGATCCTCGTACACCTTGCCGTCATAGCGACCAAGGCTGCTGTCTAGCTGCCAGTCCGGAATTGCCCAGGCATCGACCAATCGGACAGCATGCGGGCGGATCTCATCGAGCAGTTTCAGTACTGCAGTAGTGCGTGTCAGGGTGATCTGTCGCACCGTCACGGCACCGGAAGAGAAGAACTCAGCTGCTTCTCGCTCTAGAGTGTGCAGTGAGAAGAGTCGGAATAGCTGGTGCATGAGGCCCTTCGTCTCCGGATCCAAGGCCGCTGAGAGTTCGGGAGAGGAAACCGCCTCGTAGAAGTTCTTCACCATCAAGTACTGAGAATGAGCTGTAGACAAGCGCCAGAAGTCAACCAGAAGACTGTTCCAGGAGCGCTGCTCAGCATCCCGATGCTTCAGAGCCTCAAAAGTCAAATGAGCTGTGCGCCATGCAAAGGCAGCCACGATGTCCTTGTCCTCATCGAGCACATCGAATGAAGCTCCTTTGTCGCGTCGATCGAGGTAGGTCTGAAGGATCTGGCTCGTGTCGTTGCGAGCCGGCTTGCCAGCCAGAACAGCGCGGGCAGATTTAAGGAGCTGTTGATAGGGTTAGTACGATTCAGATAAATGAATGAGCTGTGACATACATAACGTGCGACCTGTTGGGTCAACATGTAGTTATCACCTTCCCAGGTCAGTGTGGGGAGGTAGTCCGCGTAGGTCGGTCCAATGCCGCTGTAGCTGCTGTATCCATGACCACCACATGCGCGGCGGCAGACCTCCAATCCCTCGCCAGCAGTGGTACTGGCCAGAGCCTTGAGCCCACAGGAAGTAGCATGTAGATCCGCAAGAAGGTTCGCACCAGCGCGGAGCTGCTCAGGCCCAGCACCCCGTGACTCCTGGTCGGGCGAGCTGGCTGCCTTCATGCGGCTTTGGTTCTCCTCATACAGGCGCATCATACCACGGCCGGTGAAATGCAGAGCATACATTGATGCTAGCAGTGGCAGCAAGCGCACCTGCACCATTTTATAGTTCAGGACTTGGGTTTCACCCGCGTGTGGATCCGCATCACGATCCTGGAACTGCCTCCGAACCGCACAGTACCGGGTGGCAATAGTGACACCGCGGGCCAGAACACCGCCAGCATCTAGAACAATGTTGGCCCGCACCCAGGTCATTGTACCAAAGACCAGAGATGGCATAGCGGGCTTAGCGTAGGAGTTCGTCTCCTTGTCGACCTGACAGAAGCGGGCCAGCATGCTGACATGCGGTACCTTGACGTTGTTGAACAGCAGGAAACCGTTATCCATGGTACTTAAAAGGCATTAGTCCCAGTGCCAGCCAAAGAGTGAGAAGGGACTTACTTATATCCAAATTTGGGGCCAATGTCGCCCACATATACATTATCCAATGGCTGATGGGTTTCGAGGTCACGGATCTGCACAACAAATGGGTGGGGACCGTAGTTCTTGCCACCAATAAAGAGCTGGGCCATAACCACAGCATGATTGGCAGTGCGGCCAAGAGATCCAATCCACCACTTTGAGGCAGTCAATGTTGGGGAGTTGATGGTGAAAGTCTTATCGTTGGAGTTCCAGGTGGCGGTGGTTTCCAAACCTCGCACGTTCGATCCGTGGCCCAGTTCCGTTTGAGCATAGCAACCGATGATCTCATATTTTTCGGCGCGTTCAAGGAACAGTTTGTGCTGCTCGGGAGTGCCTTGTTCTCGGAGAGTTACCTAAATAAAGATTCAAGTAATTAGTAGGGTTCTTGGCCGGGGGAAGGGGGGCAATTCACTCACCAAAAACATGCTGGCGTGCAATCCATACGGAGTAGGTTCACCAATTAAATTATTGGCCGCATGGAGTTCTTCCATTGACCATTTGTGCTCTTCCGCCAGCTGTTGGAGGCGCTTGGCCTTGCCCAACGACCGCTGGAGCCGCTCTACACGGCCCAAACTGTGATTTTGAGATTTATCAAATACTTTTTCGGACTCCAAAAGAGCTACGAGGGATGCTTGTCGCTCCAATGTTTTCTTTGTGTGCAGTAACTCGGATAATCTTTCGACATCGACGTTTGATTGAGCACGCTCTTGCTGGAGGAGCTCAGATCCTTGCGGACCTGACGGCTTCAGGGCCTTCACCCAATCAGGAGGAGGCGTTGGCATTGTGTGAAAAGCGAAAGGTTGGGATTTGTGTGGGGGATAGACGGAAGAGAAAGAGAAGGGGAAAGTTGGGGTTATGAACCCCAGAGCGGAGGAACCTTGGGAAGGACCGAGGGTCTCGATTAGGAAATAGCCTCGGCTTAACACGGATGACTCAGCAGGATCTCCCGGGACCGGGACCGGCGCCATGGGCCCGGGGAACTTGCAAGTCCCGAGGGTTGCCCTCTCACCTTTAAACCGTTTAGATCACTTTCGCAATGGACAAGATTATTTCATCACTCATGTCACAGCATTTCCGTTGATATGTGGGAACGGGGAGAAACTAAATTCGCTCTTCTATTACGGCTTAACTGGTCCCGAAACAATGAGCCGATGATCGGGTCGCACTAGAATGAGATCACCGAGCACGGAGGACCCCTTTGTAAGTGTCCTGGAAAATGACCTCGGTTTGGAGGTGTTTGGCTCTTGATACTTCACGCTAACTTACAAATTATACGACCGTAAGGTCGATGTCTCAACCGGAAAAACAGGAACAAAGAACCACGTGAAACGGAGTACATTGCCTACGGACTGGGTGAAAAGTCCGAGATAAAGAATCGGATCTGATAACAAACACTTGCCCAAATTAATTTCACATGTCAACATGTGAGTTTTGTTTTTGTTTTTTTCCATCTATTCATTGCTATTCATTGTGTCTGACCTTGGACACCCGCGGCAATCCCAACCATGTTAAGAGAATGGCACCAGATAGTGCAACGATAAATGGTTGCAGCACTTTCACTCCCTTGGCTTGTGCAAGCACACCAACTGCGAAAGGGAGAATGGCGGCTCCGCTACCCCCAAAGGCGGCGACAAAGCCTATGGACGTGACATGTAGGTGCCGAGGAAGAAGTTTCGTAACCATCACAACTGCTCCGGGGAAAAGGGGACCTAGGAAAAAACCTTGCAGAGCAACTGCCACCGCCGACGCATAGAATTGAGGCACAAGCCATAGGATCAAAGCAAAACCCACGGAGCAAAGGATGTATACCTGGTGAAAATCAGTCTCATCGGCCTTTTTCAATTGGAAAGCAGTGTAATGCTCACCGAGATGGCGACCTTCTCGCCAACGCGAGGTGTCACAAATCCTAAAATTACCCGTCCCACCGTGATACCCAACCAGAACCCAGTGGCCGTCATTCCGCTGGCAAAAGCACTACCATGTCGAACTCGGATCATGAAAGTAACAATCCACCCTCCTAGCGCGACCTCTACTCCAACGTATCCCAGCAAGAATAACGCGCAGAGCCAGGTGACCCGGGCAGCCGGGCGCTTGAAAAGTGCATCCCTCAAGCCACCTTTTTTATTCTCGCCTGCTGATGGTACGTTCGATGCGCGGAAATTGGCTGCGGTTGATTTCCAGAAGCATGTGCCCGAAACCACCAATTCGATGGCCGCACATCCGACCTGACTATTAATTCGGGGCCCAATATCTGCTAGGAATCTCCACTCACCATGACATAATAAAAGTAATACCACGGTAAACCACCTTTGGCAATCATGGAGGTTGCGACCAAAGGGCTCATAACTGCACCAGCTCCATAGATGCCATGCAAAACTCCCAACAACTCATTTGCATTGGCCATATTGCCAATCCATGCATTCCATGCAGCATCCTCAAGGCCATTCCCTAAGCCTGCAAATATGAATGCGATCACCAGTACTGGATAAGGCGGATGAACGCAGTTGATAACATAGGCAATGAGATGGCAAGCCGGCCCGATAATGGCCACACCGCGCTGACCTAGTGTATAGTGGATGCGGTGATTGAGAAACGCGGCGACCGTATAGCCTACTAAAGGCGACAAAAAAACGAGAGACACAATTGTGTAAGATAGATGGTAGTATGATTCTAGCTGTATGCCAGATGAGACAGATTGTCATTTGATCGTAGTGGTCTTCATCTTACATATGGAATTAGAGCCTGCGAACAGTCAGCAGGCATCTCGAAGGGAATCAACCTGTGCTTCTTTTGGACACTATCAACTTACACCATAGGCTGCATCATTCGCACCCATAACCAGAAATGACCAGAATGTGGCAAACGTCCGATGGATATTGACACGCGGTTGATTCCATTTCTCCAGCAAAGGAAAAGTCTCAGGAGGAACCAAAGATGGACCCGTGTCTGGGGCGGGTAAAGCCTCCAGAGCGATAAGACTCGCATCGCGCGATTTGGGGATCCGGTCAGATGCCATCTATTCCAGTGTCGGAAGCTTGCAAGCAAGAGATCAACAGCTGGAATGATAGAAAAGAGGTCCCGGTGGTCCAACCGCACCGGATCGAGGTGAGGGGATGCCACGTCCCCCACAACGGCAGAACTTCGGATAGTTGACCCTGAACGTGTTATTAGACGTCATTTCTACTTCTTTTCTTGGCTTTCACAGTTCTGGTGCTGTTCGTGATATATCTAAGAGGGCATGCACAGTAGCCTTTGGAAGATGACATTTTGGAGTTATGAAAGCTTCTCCTGGGTTGAAAGGCAACTCCGTGATCAACCCTCTTAACCTTGATTTTTCGATAGAATTATAACATATAATCACTTGGGGTTTGGTCTCATACTCTGATCTCCATAATTTTCACACATCTGCATTTGAGGTTTATATGAACGAACGTTGGTTCTGGAGCATCCCCTGAATACGATTCTATATATATCGCACTTCAATCCTTTGTTGAAAGTTGTTCCTCTCTATACGAACTTGCGCCACATTATGAATTCTAGCACGTTGTTTTTCCACCAATCAAAATATATATTAATTTACATATAAGCCCGCCCAATGGTGCCGTCAACATATTATACCAGCAATGAGTTACGTTAATCCCATCATTCCGGGGTTTAACCCCGACCCATCGATTGTTCGCGTCGGTAAAGACTTTTTCTTAGTTACCTCCACCTTTGAATACTTTCCTGGAGTTCCCATTTACCACAGCCAGGATTTGATTCAATGGGCATTGATCGGTCATGCGTTGACACGACCCAGCCAGCTTCAAATCCATACGCCGGAACCGGGAGGAGGAGTATGGGCATCTACAATTCGTTATCACGCGGGCGTTTACTATATTATGACAGCAAGCTTTCAGCGGTATCGCCCTCAACAGGATGACCGAGTTTGGCCACAGGGATTCTATGTCAAAACGACCGATATATGGAATGAGAAAACGTGGTCGGATCCAATCTATTTTGATCAAGTTGGGTTTGATCAAGATGTGAGTTTTCACCATGGGCATCACCACCCGGACAACGTGGATGACGATTGAACCTTTTAGCTTTTTTGGGATGACGATGGAACTGTATATCTATCGTCCACCTACAGAAAGACTCAGCCAACGGCTGGTGCGAAGCTGAAAGACTTTGCAATTCACATATGCACAGTTGATCTAGCCACCGGGCATTCAACATCAGCACCTAAACTGATTCGGGAATCATGTTCTGGTGTTGCCGAGGGATCACATATCTTCAAACGCGGTCGTTATTGGTATTTATTCACAGCAGAAGGCGGTACTGAAAGTGGCCATAGCGAATGGGTCAACCGAAGTGAGATCGGCCCGTTGGGACCGTGGGAGCTTGGGCCAAATAACCCGCTCTGGCGCAATGGTATTGAGGACGAAGTACAAAACACCGGACATGCCGATCTGGTTGAGGACGCCAAAGGGCAATGGTGGGCAGTTGTGCTCGGCGTTCGTCCCTTGCGACATGGGGATACATGGGAAGACTCAGTGCTCGGTATGATATTTTGGGATATTTTGGGAAATTGACTGTCGTCATATTATACTAACCTCCCTAGGCCGCGAGACATTTCTAGTTCCTTTGGAATGGAAGGACGATTGGCCTGTGATCAACGGAGGACAGAAAATCAGCCTCAACTCCCAGGGCCCCGGTCTTTATCAATTCCACACCTCAGTATCTTGGAGGGACGAATTTTCAGAGCCACGAATGCAAGTTGGTTGGTATCGAAAAAGTGAGTATCGAAAAACGAAGTTACCTACGCCGCCCTGACCAGAAATTAGACACGCCCTTCGTAAATGATTACTCACTTACGGAGCATCCAAACCATCTTCGCCTCTATGGTGGACCTTACAACCTGTCAGTGCCAGCCAGCCCAACCATGTACCTTCGCAAGCAAACCCATCGCTTTTGCAGGTGGGAAACAATGCTCTCCTTTCACCCGACGGCAGACGAAACCGAGGCTGGCACTGTGATCTGGTTGAATTATTTTACATATAGCAGCATTGGTATCAGGAAAGATAGCAGGGGCCGTTTCATCCGTTTCCGCCCATCGAATGGGGACATCGCGGAGCGTAGATTGGAAACAAACACTGCGATTATTCTCACAGTTGACTGTGGCACCGAGTATCGATTTGGGTATCGTGAAGACATAGAATCTGACGTTCATTGGATAGGTGCAGTTTCGAACAATACTGCTACGGCAGCACCTCCGGTTGGGGCCAATTTTACCGGCATGATGCTGGGGCTGTATGCATTTGGAGAGCGCCAGCGATGCTTGGCACCAGCTGATTTTGCGTACGCAGAGTTTAGATAAAAAAAAACGATATTCCTGGACTAGTGTCGTTCGCCATGTCTGTTTCAACAGGGCTTCAACGCCAGAAGATCAATATATATCCAAACATCCTCGTGTACTCGCGCATCTATATGTACTATTCCTTGTAACAATACGGAACGTCATATCTTAACTCCGTGATTAACTCCGGCCGCCAAGCAAATCTGATTGGAAGGGACTTGGAATTTTGTTTCTTCCTCAAGCATGGCGGTTTTCATCTTCAAAATTGTTGTCCGAAGCAAAGCACGAAGCTTTAGTGCTGATAGCCAGAATGACTGAAACTTTGAAGCTCGATAACCATGTACTCTCTATCTCCAATGACGCTGAGGAAGAGACGGACAACTGGTCTGGATTGACTAACCCTACCGAACGCCGTCGGCGACAGAACCGCATAAATCAGAGGGCTTACCGTACGTCACGTCCGCTCCAGTTTTTTCTCAAGCTGACTTTTTCTAGGGAAGCGCAAGCGACTGTTGACAGCCACAGATGTCCACCCTAAAAGCTTACCCCCATCCCCTCGTTCAACCTCTACTGCCCAATTGCAAAACAGCTCTCCACAAGATAAGCTCAAAGCCAACCTTTGCTGCAGCCCCGAGCTTTTACAAATTCTTCTCAACAGATTCGCCAACTCAGCTTATGAAAGTTATGTACGGGGGAACCCGACCGCCGATCACCTTATGACATTGACCAAGGTGAATGTCTTTCGAGCATTCGCCCACAACTTGCGATTAATCGGTTGGTCAGAGTTCTGGATGGACAACGACGCAATTTCGCCGTTCAATACAGCTTTCCCACACAAGGCCTCTCCACCGAACGATAGCAGCCTCATTCCGAGCAACCTACAGCCCACTCGAATTCAAAAGTCGATACCCCATCACCCGTGGCTGGACTTCTTTCCATTTCCCAAGATGCGCGATAACCTCATTGAGGCCGGGGATGACTGGGATGATGAGCAGCTTTGTCATGATATCATGGGGTTTTGGGGGGAGTCAACGATGGATGCAGGGCTGCTTGTTTGGGGAGAGCCTTGGAATGTGCAAAATTGGGAGGTGACTGAGCCGTTCTTAAAGAAATGGCAATGGGTTGTTCAAGGGTGTCCCGAATTGATGAACGCAACAAATCGTTGGCGTGCCCATCGGGGGAGAGGCTGATATTTCGGTACATTTGAATCAAGATCACCATGATTTCTTGACCAGCCTAGTGATAATAGTAGGTTATTTAAGCTTTTCGAAGAGCCCTATAGCCTCGGACGTATCCATCGGCTCAACTTTGATGAGGTCCTTGGGACTGACTATTTTCAGCGTAACTTCTCTCGTCCGACTTGTAATAACGATAGAGCCGTTTCTTGTTCTAGGAACGTATTCCAATCACGCTTTGGTTAAGGCGTCTGTGAGACCTTCCGTTGGGTCTGCTTTGCCTACCGGCGGACACGAGCAAAGAAACTCATGCGTATCGACATTGCCTGGGATACAGCATGGATCGAGATCAGTTTCACCAGTTTATACATAGATTCTTTCCCCAAACCTACTTTGAAACACATTAGGCTTTATTCTGTCTAGAGTATTGAGATCCTGAAAGCTCATTTCAAACATGAGACTTACATCTCTAGGAACTATAGACGTGTCTACCCGTACAGGACCGCACGTGACTACTCCCTGCCATAGTAGTCTATCCTATGGGGGTGGCTGCAGTCTAGTAGACTGGAATTAGGATTTTCTCTTAACTATGGCGGTAAAAAGTGCACACATCCTAGTGGACGTGGCACCATCAGTGTCCCTCTCCATCTTATCTCCGAACAAGAGATTGAGACGAGTAAACCTGTCATCACTGGGTGGAGCTTCCATGTCAATGAACACGGGGTTGTTGACTGCAAAGGGAACAACGTCTGTGCCCCTATGAACTCTGGCAATCACAAAGTTTTTACGGACTCGAAGCTTTACACCGAGCGTGAAGTCGAGATGATGCCACGGTTGGATGCTGCTGAAAAGTTTTAAATTTGCAAATCCCCAGCAATATTCTCCCCCTTTTCATCAGGCTCTATCTTTTGCAAGGATGTCCCCTCGTACATTCGTTTAGTTAGCTATATCTGCAGAACAAGAAATTGAGTACATACCTTACCACCGAAAAGCTAATAACATGATATTGTGCGGAGTATGGGGCAACCATTCCTTGTTATTTTCCTATTTGCTCGGAAGCCGGCATGGCTCTTAATATCCTTTCTAATATACATAGTCTAACTCCCACGCAGACAGGTCTCGTCCGAATAGTAAGCTAATGCGAGAATATGAGCCCGTTCATGAAAGATAACCCCCGAAGATATCTATCTAGATAGTGCTCGGCTCGTTCGTCTTTGAACTTAAGAAGCCGTTCAACACCGCACAGCAACATCCCGATAGCCTTCTGCGACTCCAGTTGCTCTTTTGTTATTCCCCCCAATCCCTGGGAAGCAAGACTAGCCAGGGCCCGGTCGTGAACCGCCGCCTCGAGTTCCTGACGATCCTCTGTGTCTTGCTCAAGAGTAGAGGTGAGGTCGGATATTGTAGTGTCGGATAAAGTAGTGTTCGCTCTAGTTCCCCGAGTAACGAGGTCTGCAAGATCTAGGGCAGTCACTATCTTCTTCTGGAGCGGCAGTTGAGAGTCCTGAGAAGACATCAAGACACTGATATACGTTTTCCCTTCTGCAAAAGACGATGTATACATAAACAACTCTTTGTATATACCCTGGTATATTACCAAGGGTACAATAGGTCTATGGATGCGGCTAGCTTCGGTGACTCCAAAGAGGTCTTACCTGTCGCTTCAGAACTAGGCGGTAATGCGATGATCGGTGTGCGTGGAGTGAGTATGTAATATCGCGGTATAGCTTATGCTTCCCTGGAAAGGACTGGGTGGAATGTCTACCTTGCCGGTAACTTTGGGAAAAAGGATCGGGGCAATATGGTGCAAGACGAACTGGTGACACGATATCTGGGAGAGGTTTGGCAGTGTCTCGAAGAACTGAGCCACGACGCGCCTCTAATAATCGTCCATTGTAACAGCCTGTCCGTTCTAGACATGGACATTACCCAATCTGCCTACACGTGAAAGCGAGAAGCCTGAGTTTGCTGGAATCGCGGCCATGTTGATCTCATTCACGGAAGGGATGAAATTGGGCGCGCAGCAAGAAAGAAAAGGGTTTCTAGTTCGAGAGAACTGGCCAGGACAATTGTACGGATTATTGTTCCTCCAGTAATCACGGGACTTGCAGGAAGCGAGGTCATGTCACGACTACTCCGTAATGGCACAGCATTTCACAAAGGGGCGAAAATGCAAGTTATAAGACCTGTCAACCGCCTTATTCTCTATTACCTACATTTTTGGCCGGGCACTGAAATGAATGAAACTTTAGCTTCATCAACATTCTAGCCAGACCATGCCAGTTTCACAGGCAACAACCACGGGCTATAGTTCACTGGCAAGGATTCCCGCTGCGCTTGCTGATAACCCATGCGATGCATGCCCACACTAGTCACAGTCCATTCTTAGCCGTTTCTCCATTATTGAAGTGATGGTATGGTCATGGAATAGAGGAATTTTAGGGACGAAGAAGGAGAAGAGAAACCGAAAGAGCGAAGTCTGGTCTTGTATATCGAGGCGACGTCGGTAAAGGTTAACAAGCAGCGTATTGGGACGCCAAACCTAAAAAAGCAAAACTGACTCGAACAGGCAATTCACAGGTCCACCGTTTACAACTTAAAACTTGCCAGAGAGATACAATAGGGGTCACCCAAGTAATGATCGATGTCAGGCTTCCCAAACCCTTTCTCTTCCACGCAAGCCCAGAGACTTCTCCTACTCACTCCCTAGCTTGGCCTTCATCTGCCGACTCCATTCATCCCGCTTGATCCGCAGAAGGATCAACGGAATACCACTAAGAAGACAGAATAAACAAACAGCAGTGAAAGACCAACCCGTGCCAATCGCATCGAATAACGGCTGCGCAATAATCGCACTCACACACGACAGACTGTTTCGCATGAGGTTATTCACCGCAACACCGATAGTGGAGTTTTTAGGTGTAAACTCAGTCAGCATTGTCATGGTCACGTTGCTGAGAATCATTCCACCAACTCCATAAAAGAAGTTTCCGAGGAGCTATTATATAGTTGATTAGTTGCTTGAGGCCAGAAGGGGGAAGGGAGCGATGAAAAGAATGAACGTACTGGGACCAGCCAAAACTTATGCTTATCAGCTGCCCATCCCCACCACAAGAGTGCTCCAGGAAAGAGAATGCCTGCAAAGAGACAGTTCTCACCTAGGCGATCTACCGGGTGGAGGATCAACTCTCCCTTATCATCATATCGGCTCTCCTTTCGGGCAGTCCGCGCCATGATATAATCCTGCCAGCGGCCGCCAATGATCGCACCAACTAATAGACCCAGGCCGCCGGGGATATAGGCCACACCGACAACAACGGAGCTCCAGGAGTATGGCGGTAGGGCGAAGGTGTCTTCGATGGAGACGCAGATGAGGTAGTACGTAGCGAAAACAATGCTGGTGTAATAGACCGTAATAAGAATAGGAGGGTATTGAAGGAGCTTTGCGGCTTCCATAGGCTTTAGAAGGAAGTGGAAGACTTTCTTAGTCGGGCTAGTGGTGTCTTCTCGGTGCTGACGGCGGTTCTCTTCGAGGTTAGTGGCCGTCTCCGGCATAAAGAAGACCATTACCACAAACACAGCCCAGCCATAGATGACCATAAACCACTGCGTGCTGCGCCAGCTCCAGCGCATAGTGAGTGCGCCCCCAATAATGGGGGCAAACATAGGCCCTAGCATAGGACCAAGCATGAAGGCTCCCATGGCTTTACCGCGATCTCGCGTTTCGAACATGTCGGAAATGGTACCGGCGCTGACAGCTTGAAGAGACGCACTAGAGGCATTACCAAGGAGTCGCATAGCGATAAACATGCCGATGTTGGGGCTGATAGCAGACAGAATGCTAAAAATTCCAAGCAAGAAAAACGACGACATATATACCAGTCGGCGACCATAGAGCTCCGCGAGGTATGACCACCACAAGGGAGTGATAGCGACAGAGAGTGAGCCAAAAGCGATAGACAAGTTCACCACCGACACTGTGGTATCCATATCCTCGGCGATCTCTATCAGGCAGGCTGTTTGGAATTCAGAATATCAGCTTGCTTGTTCTGTATGAGGAAGCGGACGACTTACGGAACAAAACACCACTACCCAATGGAACAACCAGCCCTCCCATCGCCACAATAAAGGTCAATCCCCACTTCATCCCCGGTGTATACTGCCTGGGATCCTGCAAGACTGGGACCAAACATAACCACGGGAGAAATCCTCTGCGAACGCGTTCCGAATTATGATGATTGATTTCTCTACCAACACCGAGTTCTGCCTTGGTATCGTCTTGCATGAGCTCGTCTGGCGAGTCTGTTCGCTCGTCCCATGGGGTTGCTTTTGTGCTTTCCTGAGGTTGCATCGTGTTGAAACCTATTAGACTGTGTATTTTTGCTATGAAGGGGCGACTTGGTGATTTTAAGTTCTATTGTCTTGAGCAGTATATATTCAAAATTACAAAGCCCTATACTCCGTACATGAGAACTATCTGATCTATGTATCCACCTCGGCCGAGGTGTGGGGCCTCGTGCGAGGTCCACTTCTTGTCCGATCAAATCAGAAACCATCAGGTTTAAATGAGGCGATTAGGTAGTAAAAGACTGAGGCCATCTCTATGAATTAATAGGCCTGGACGCCTCGCTATTCATTAGTGATCCTCAATAAAATCCTGAAAGCAAAGTTTTCAATAACTCCATGTAGGTAAAGAAGCTCCTTGTGGAAATAATCAACACCTACAATCTACATGAAAGTGTAGCCTGCCTCGTACGAGAAATATATATCCCGAGTGATGACGCAAAAAACAATGATGAAATTACCATGTAAGTCATCCTATGTGAGCTATGGTACGGAGTACGTTTTCTACACAGCACTTAATGTTTGACCATTTTGATAGGTGTGAGATAGCCTACCACCTAGGCTTTAAAGGTTGGTAGACTTCTTAAACTAGACCAACTTTAGATTACTACATAAATCCCCTGATCACAGGTTTCTCGGCTTCATCCCGATATTAGCAACATACAAGGCAAAGAAGCTCGTCTTATCCGTTTGAAACTGGCCATCTCCGTCCTTGGTCTGGCCCTCCAGATCCACATCATACTGTCCGAACAACGCAGTCAAGATGCCACGAACCATCTTCCCACCCAGATATACACCCAGACATTTGCGAGAACCGTATCCAAAAGTCGACAAGTTGTACTTCAAATCCCTCGGATTTAGGCCGTCGAAGCGCTCCGGTCGGTATTCCTTCGTGTCGGGGCCCCAGTATGGGTTGTGGATATTGATGGCGTGTGCGTCGATCACAACGCTTGTCTGCAAGATCCGTGTGTTTAGTGCTATTCTAGAAAGAAAAGGGGGCAAAGTAGGAATAATATGCAACTTACTTTGGCGGGAATGTGATACCCTCCTAGTACTTTGTCTTCGGTACAGCGACCCGCAAGGGAAAATGCTATTTCGAACACATTAATTTGGTTATGCTAAAGCAATTAGCTGGGTGTGGGCGAAGGACAAAGCTTACCAGGAATTGGCTCCAGCCGGATCGACTCAAGGAAACACCAGTGTATGAAAGTATCCTGCCGCTTGACGTAGTCGACAAGGTTGTCCTTATGGTCGTCGATTTCTTGTTGGAGCTTTTTCTGAATCCGCTTATCCTCAGCAATATGCAGAATACAACCCGTGATGACGGAAGTCGTAACATCCAAGTTTGCAAAGATCGACTCGGTGAAAGTGTGGATAAGCTGGTCCTCTGTCATATCACCATCTTGGATGTTCTTCCACAGCCTGACAATCGGTAGATCGACTTCTGCTGCCTTCTGCTTGACGATATCCCGGTTGAATGTACGCCAGCGCCGATCGAATTCTCGAATCAGCCTCCACGAGTCCCATGAGTAATTATACTTGAAGATTCGGCTGCGTGTGAGGCCTTGCTCTACGGTCCAGGTAGAGAGGGTAAGGAAAATCTGGCCGATTGACCAGACTTCATCTTTCTGGGCGTCAGTTAAGGGTCCATAGAAAGTCTCCATTTGGGTAAAAAACGGGTACGACTGCACGGCCCGGTACGCATTAACGACCGCCTTCCCCTCTTGAATTGGATTCAGGGTTTGTGTGGGAAGTGCCTGCACATGCTCGGTTGCCCGCTGCAAGACCATTGGAGTGAGCTTTGCCGAGTTCGAGAAGTTCACATAGGGATCTAGCAACTTGCGCAGAATCTTCCAATCATGGCCATTGATCAGCCCGACTGCGTGACCCATAGCATAATTAAACAGTGCCCCGGACGGTTCATAGGAGAACTTGCTGTGCTCTCCTTTCCCGGAAAACCAAGCCTCGACGTCTTTGGGGTCAGTGATGACGCTGAGGCATGATGTGTCAGTGGAAAAGCCCATCTGTAATTTGGGCATGGGAGAAAGAAACCCACATTTCAGGCCACGCGCCATTCCAGACTCGATAGATAGATCCGTATTCTGCACGCCATTTGGCGCTCATCTGAGAGGGGGCAACGATCTTGTCATTTCCCTGGCCTTGCGGTAGAACATATTCAGGACCGGGCATCTGCTTCTTTTCCCCGTTGATGGGTTTTACAGGGGACATGGTGATGTATATAGACTGTCTCCAGGGTTAACATCTGATCTCATGTTCACCTTCCTCGTTCAGGGATAGACAAGTGGCCTACATTAAGGTAAAACGTGGCAATTCGATCGCCGAAGAAATAGGCCATAACAAGTGGTAAGGATAAACCTAGGACGAGCCATTGTAGTGGGGGAATGCCCACTGGAAGACCCGTGAGGGAAGCCATGAGGTATGAGAGACGAAAATTGATCGTTTTTGAGTCAATGAGGGAAGTCTTAATACTATTGATATTCCTGCCCAAGCAAATGAGCAAAGCTCTACTATAAGCAATTCTGCGCAGGGCTTATTTCGGAGCAGGAAGTTTGTCACCTCGTTGCAAGCACATTGTGTGCCGAGCTTATTCTCCGAGAATAGTCCCCCTCAACATACTAAGCACGGAGTGCCACAACGGAGATGAACATGTATCTCCTTTCTGTCTGGATGGATCTTGATTTTGACCCAGCTCTGATCATGTCATAGGTTAACCGCCTTTGGCTGTCAGACCTCGCCAGTGTATGACTTGGATCAAATGATAGCTTTTGGAAGACACGCCCCAATACAGCTGACATCGACCCTCTCCACCACTTCGTCCAAAAGAAAGAGGAGAAAATACGTTAAATGTTCCACATGCTTTTTACTACCGATATCCCACAAAGAATGCTTCAGTGTACGTGTACGAAGTAAATCAACCAATCAACACCCCAACTTTCTCAGCAAGCCCGGCAATCAATCACTGTGACAACCCATGAAAGCCCATCGGATCCAAACTGGAGAAGTCCGCGAAATCAAAGTCTTCCACATTCACCAATCCCATAAAGTCCGCCGTACCAAAGCCCGTCCCTGCTGGGCCCAGAGGGCCAGCAAAAGATTCAATCATTGTGAGATGATCATTTTCAGATTGACCGGTCCCAGTATACTGATTGTTGGCGATATCAGAACTAAGACCTTGCTGGAACCGAATCCGATTCACCAACCAAATGATTGCGGGCCATGCACCTGTGGTATGCTGACCCCGAATCTCGTAGATAGCGTTCGCTAATTGGAGGCCTCGCTGGCGGAGATCGGCCCACTCCGGGGATTGGAAGCCAGAACTGCGGAGCTCGGACAGTACGTAGAGGATCAGGTAAAAGCCAGCGTGGGAAAATATATGCCATTGGAAGGGTTCGCAAGCCTTGCTAGAGGCAATAGTACACCAGTTCTCTACGGCTGTGGCGGCATCCACGAATATGCTTGATGGTCGATACTATCAGCAAAAAGAACAGATTTACCTTCCCCTTTCAGTTAAGGGCAAGGATGAGGGAAAGGAAGACTAACTTTCTTCTCATAGCGGGGTTGATGATCTTTTCGCGATCTTGTCGAGAGATTTGAATCCAGAACATAACCCAGAATTTGGTTTTCAAGTGGTCTCTCAAATCCAAGGCCATCGATTGCATGCTCACCCTCTTATCGCAGTATCGAACAAGATCATCCAGGTTCTTCTCAAACTCACTCGCGAGAGTCTCAGCAGTGTTCAATAAGCCTTGTAGCTCGATTAACACTTCGGCCTCGCCCACAGGGCGCAATCGCTTTCGCGAAGCAAGTGCTACCTGAATAATGCGCCCGTAATACTGGACTGCAGTGGTTCGTAAAAGATAGATAGTCATATCGGTGAATTTAGGGATATCCAAGAGTGCAGCGGATGGTGCGACCCCCTCAATCAGATCGATATCATCTAGGCTGACAGGTCGACACGTATCAAAATCCGACTCATGGATCGAAGGCGCAAACCCATGATCTTCCGCCGCGCGGAAATCCAAGTAACAAATTTGCGCCCATAAGCGACGGCGTAGCTCTACCTGTATAACATCGATCGTCCCCAGTGGTAGAGCTAAAGGGTCACGGTGGAGTCCATGGACTGTCGCTATTCGAATAGCCAAGCCAGTCAATGGCCATACCTTCCCCATATCATCTTCCCGATATTGTGCGGTCTTTGGAGTGAGATACGTATTGTTTAGCTCAATACTAACAATTCTTGATTCTTACTCCCTAAAACTTACCAGGAAAATCACAAATGCCTGCAAAACTTCAAAGCTCCTCGAAGTCATGAATTTCTGCCGTTTTAGATACACTTCCGTTCCTATTCGGTATCGATTTAAGAGGTAGGACTTATCCATGCTAAACATGGTGGCCATATCGGTATCTTTTATACTGTTGACGGCTGCGTAGAAGATAGACATGACTAATGGCTCGAATGTATCTATATTAGTATTCGGTTTACCAGGGCTGTGGTCATCCTCGAGAAGGTAATGGGTGAGAATAAATTCGTCAAAGCGACGGGCTAAACTCGGCCGATGGATAATTCGATGAATTGGGTCGATATTGGCCAGGAAAACGTTGAGCAGTAGGTAGCAATCCTCTCTTGTATCGGGCCAGAAGGTAGCCCCGTTGGCCATAGGTGAATCTGCATCCCAGATAATATCTTCGAGCGCCTGTTCGGGAGAGGAATTCTGAGATTCTGTAAGAACTGATTGAATGTCTTGGAGCTAGAGAAGTAGAGGACACTCGGTTAGTACCTCTCTGTATTGACATTAATAATGGGCCTCACACCTCTGCTGCCATCCAGGCCCAGTGTTTACCGGAGACAAAGTGGGGGACTCCATTATCGAGAATCAGTGCATCCTCTTGCGATCGCGGCTGTGGGGGCGATGCATTAAGAGGAGTAGGCGTCGATCGTGTAGGTGTGAAAGATTCCGAGGAGGGACAATGCTCCGATGCCTTATATGCGTTCGCTTGTGCTATGAAGTTACCAAGACGCTGAAGGCCGGGATTGATTCGAGCTAGCGTGGACGAAGAGATCTTTGGGGTACTGGATTTAGTGACCCGGTTCAACTCCGAGACCAGCCCCGGTGACTGAGGTTTTGAGACGTAAGAACAGGCATAATCGCCTCGCTCACACACCAAGCATAGCGGTTGTCGGCGGTCGCATTTGACCTTGCGACTACGACACGGCAGACAAGAGGTAATGGGACGAGAAAGGCCACCTAGGGGAGACAATTCACGATGTGTGGATGAGGGGCGAAAGGGAGAGTTCATTGCGAAAGAGATGAAAAATTGGGAATGCGCAAACTTGCTTTTAAATCATCACGCAGCGACAACAGAGAATGGCAATCTCCAGAGTCCAGTCAAGTTCCACCTTTAAGGTGAATAGCCTGAAGTGAGCCCAAAGAATTTAGGTAGAGCACATGTAATGTTCAAGAGGGGGAGTTGGGGGCAAGGTCAAATGCCTAATATTTCAGTTGACTATGCCTATTTAGATATTAGCAGGTTTCCAATAAAAGCTAAGCTTAATAATATTATAACATCTAATCTAATGTATTTCACCAGCTGCGCACGCTAGAACACAAAGTAAAAGTGATAAATTACAACATGATATCGTTTTTATAGGCTATTCCTTGTAGCCTCATGAGTTTTATATATATCCAGCCAATTGTCGGAGTTTGGGGGAATTTAATCACTTAGTGATTGAGATATGTATATTTTCTAGAGTTCAGTGATGTATTTTTCGATACCATAACAATGCAAATTTTGGATTTATTCAAAAGTAATATATATTGAAATAATTATCAATTGCTATCGGCGAGGAATAAAATTCAATAGAAGCGTTGGGTTGTTGAAATATCATGTTGTAATTTATCCCTTTTACTATGTGTTCTGGCGTGCGCAGCTCTGTAGTTTGCGCGGTTCGTGGGTGAAACACATTAGGGTGATAGGTGATATATCCGAATTGAAACTATACTCCTATAGGAAGTTACTAGATACGGAGTAAAATTTACCTAGTTAAAGCTGGTGAAATATTAATAAACGATAGGAAATTGATTTGGTCTAGTTAGATGTGCCGCTTTACAAGGATGGTGAGAAGGCATACTAACGCTAAGAACCAGATGTAAAATAAACGAGCGGTTCAGAATTAGAGTCGCACATCCAAGTGTTTTGATAGATATACGAACAAAATAGAGATACCCAAACTCAGCTAAGTTTTGTATCCCCTCTGCTATAGTTGGTTACGGCCTAGCTAAGTAAGGATTCTTCGTTTATGATAGGGACTGCAAAGGTCTAGGTGAACCTGGATTACATGCTCCTCACTGGTCAGATAAGTTGGCATTGTGCCTCTCTTGGCATTTGATGATCTAGTTCATATCCATGGATATTATAGCGTACTGTCAATGGCACCAGGGGAACTTGGAGACCATTCGAGTGGGGGCCCGCGGGGGCTAAACACCCTCAGCTCGTACGAAAGGATTCAAATCTCCTTCGTAATAATTTTTCCCTCGGCCGAGGCTAGTGTATGTAAGAGGTGTGCATCGTCGGTAAGTCCTTTTTCAGTGCAAGGCGAGTACAGGTGTGAAAAAACTGTAAATAGAACACAACCACCCACGAGATACAGGAACATGCATGACTCTGCGATCTATTCACATATCCCAATATTTCAGCCATTATGAAGGGTCTTCTTAATAGTCCTCAACGCCCGCATAATCAGTTACGCAAAGCTTGTAACTTCTGTCATCAGTCAAAGGTGAGCTAGGTGGGTATAGCTAAATGTGCGATTGCTAACGTTTCTCAACTATAAGGTCAAATGTACCGGTAATAGTCCGTGTACGCGATGCATAGAGCTAGACATACCCTGCCGATATGAATATGTGGTTCGGACGGGGAAGCCAAAGGGGTCCCGCAACAAGAAGACCCTCGAAAAGGCGCAGATGTTGCGACAGGAGGCGATGATGACAACGGGTCAGCTTTATTCACAGCCAGCTGGAAAAGACGGTAGCAGCAGCAGCAGCAGCAGCAGCAGCAGCAGCACAAATAGTGCAACCAGTGAAGGGGAGCATCCGAGAGCGGATATGAGCACCGGGGACGACATACTGATGCCATTGAACTGGGACAATAAGTGGATCATGTTCACAAATGAAATCGAGCCCCAACCACATAAAGAGATTGGGCTACAACCCGACGAGGCAATGGGATGGGGCCATACGGAAGAGGCTCTTCAACTTGCTCCCCTCCCCAGCACAGATCTCCCATTTACCCCAGACTGCTTATCACTACTTAATGCAAGCATATATGATACTCCCACCCCCGAGGCAATCCCCAGAATTACGAGTATCGCTTCTCAGCAATGCGCATGTGTCGGCCATATCCAAGAGAATGTGGTCCAGCTAAGCAGCCTGACACAAGACCCCTGCAAGCGTGATCGCTTCGATCGGGGAATGCAAATTATCAACAATGCTTGGGTCGCAATCCGAGCTACTTTGCAATGCGAGAGTAGCGAGCACCACTCTCAACCGTTCTTTTCTATGTTATGGTGTATTCGGTTGGCATGTGGCTGGTTTCAATCGAGAGCATCGTTGGAACAACGTGAAGCTCCAATACCATCTTACCCACCGCCAGTCAAAGGTATCGACATTCGATGCGGCGAGTATGAAATTCCTCACAAGCAGATCCAAGTAATGCACGGACTCCTAATCCACATGGCGGTCCGAGACGGGATCGATCTTCTGAGAGGTCTGCGTTGCATCCTGGAGAAGAAGGAACCATCGACACATGAAAGACAAGCCAATGTGGTATCGCTTACCGCAGTGGATGTCCAATATATCCTATCCGCTCTAGCTTACTGTGAAGAGGAGATGGGCTTAGGGCTTAGGGCTTAGGGCTTAGGGCTTAGGGCTTAGGGCTTAGGGCTTAGGGCTTAGGGCTTAGGGCTTAGGG